ATATATATATATATCACTAGCTAACTGTGATCCAACAATTATAAGTGATATATTATTTAACAATATTTGGGAGGTGATATTAATGATACTCAGTTCTAACTTCTGCATCAAAAATTTTTATATAAAATTTATAACATAAAAACTTTTAACGAAAGGTTTGATTTAAAAACATGAATTAAAGAAAAAAAAAAGGTATCACTAGCTAACATGATTTAACAATTATAAGCGTGATACAGCATTATTTAACAATATTTGAGTCGTGATATTAATTATACACAGTTTAAAGTACTGTATCTGTATAAAGTGAAAAGAAAAATTTTTATAATTTATGCTAGAAAATTTTTAATTAAAAGTTTGATTGAAAAATACATAATTTTAAAAGAAAAGATATCACAAACAGGCCTGATTCAACAATTTTGAGTTCTAATTAATTAAAACAATTATGGTCAAATAATGATGTTATGAAATGAAAATCAAAAGTAGTTTCAAATAGTATATTATGTACCAAAAATAAATGTTTGAAAAATTAACTGAAAAAAAAAATATATGGATTACTGTTCAGTCATTTTATTCTCCCCAAGTTACAAGATTAGTTGAAGTTGTACTTCTGATATCGATCAACTATAAAACAATATTTTCTGCTGCATGCCAGAACATTCTAACTGATATAATTGTTTGAACATCTTCATTTGTTTAGCATGATATATTTATCTTGCCATCAGACAGATATCTGCTAAAATTAGCCAGAGCTGGGTACCCAGTACTGATTATTAAAGTTATTTTAAACGGCCCAGGTAATGAAATTCTAGCTGGGTAGGCCAGGTACTCGGTAAATCTCTAATTTAAACTAGCTCAAATAGATATTTATTTGAATGCAAACAAATACACAATATACATATAATTCACAGGTACTAAAAAATATACATCAATGCATTATTGATAAAATAAGACACTTTGTATAAACAAAGTATTCTCTAGAATTGCTAGAATATTTTCTTAGATGTAACATAACTAATACCATTATTTATCATGATGCCTCTTTCTTCTAAGAGAAAATTTATATTGGTCTGAAAACTTTTTTCTCCTCCTTCACCCATTGTAACAAAGATGCTGCCACCTTTATCCACATATTCTCTTAAATGATTAATCTATAAGGAAACGAAGAAAAAAAATAACTAATAAGCATAAATAGCAGTTCAGAAATGTATTGATATTTAAAATAAATAAATTAATATTTTTCAATTAACAGAAGTAATAGCAGATTACTGAAAGATTTTTGATTTATACTTATTTATGCAAACAATAAAGATTTCAAAGGTAGAAATAATTATGCTGTATACCTCAGTAATAGTGAATTTCTCTCGTGGTCCAGGTAATACAAACACTCCTGCCTTGGATAGAAGATCCGAAGTAATGTCACCTTGATTGCTAAATGAAAAAGTGTTTAAGAATTTAAACTGTCAAACAACACGGTAAACTGTGCACAAATTAAGACAAGCAATATTTCTCCATTATAAAAAATAGAACAATGGGTTTACTGTTTCAAAAAAGAGAGAATTTTATGAAATTCATATTTAAAAAAAACTATTATTGAACTCAGTATTGACTTCAGTTTCAAGCATAATGTCATAGCAACATCAAAATATAAGCTTTCGATAAGAAATATGAATAAGCAATCAGCAAAACAGATTTTATAAGAAAATCTAAATTAATACAATAAAATTTAAAATTAATTAGTCTAAAAATAAAAATAAGAGATATAATAAAAATATAATATATCCCCAAATAGTATTTCTGCTCAAATTGTTACCTTATACTTATAAAATGATATACAATTATAGGCCTAAATAGATTGATTTAGTTATTTCATATTCGACATGATTAGGAACTTCATTCGCACAATGAAACTTCAGCTTTGAATGTTGGTTCATCAAATAAAAGGGGAGAAAAAAAATTTATACATGACATTATTTTTAAATAAAAAGAAATTTCAATTAAGTTTTGACATTTTGTTACAAAAAAAAAGAAGAAAAAGTTTATTTTTGAATCACAATTTACTTTTAAAGTAGATGACTAGGGTCAATTGAAATAGATTTGAAGTTTTAATTTGTTTGTTTTCCTCTTTTGCATACTTATTTAATTATTATCTTTTTCAATAACTAATTAGGATAGAAATTCGTTAATCCACTGAGGGTTAAGCAAAAATTGGGAGAATGTTTCACCCCAATATTTTTCTATCTAACAACATGGAAAAACCAGTTTTGGTCTGCGGAGAAAACTACAAGTTAAAATGCAACTTTTTACACGCAGAACAGTCAGTGGGTTAAAGATCTCTCCAACTAGATAATAGGAAGATTTCACACTTTTCAGTTAGCCTCCGTACATAAGATTTGAAACAACTGAGCATGCTCGCATTTATCTTAGATGCTATGGTAGGTTGGTGTGATTCACGTTACAAAGACGAAACTACAAGTATGTTGTTTATAACAGCTAAATGTTGTTTTCTGTTTAAGCCTACCTTTGAACATCGACATGGAATGTTAATTTGAAGAAATCTATTGACAGAATTTAGAAATTAATTGTATGATATAAAAATTGGTTGATTCAATAAAAAAATTTTTTTTATTGGGTTTTGATTAACATTATAGTTGTCTAATTGCGCTAGTTCCATAAGAAACTAGATATATTTTGGCTCTTTCAAAATAATAAATTATATTAATTTTAATTATACAATTCCGTTAAAAATTTAACTTCAATAATATTTTTTTATTCGGCAAGAAATGCAGGATTTGTCTGATTTTATTTTGAAGTTAAGTGATGCTCTATTTTTTTCACTTTAAATTGCTTAAAGCAAAAAACCTTACTCTGGTACAAAAGTGCCCAATACTTGTAGCATTTGAATTATTATTATCAGAATCAGTTTGATATTTATTTTAACTTCTAATAGTTATGAATTCAGTTAGACACAAAAAATATAAATAATATTTTCAATATATAGAATTGCTGTTATCAAAATATAAGAGTAAGAGAGGTTATTTATATAAAAAAAAAATATTACACTGAAATTATACTTTCATTTTTTTTATAAATACTTATACATAAATTTAAAGGAATAATCAACCTTTTATTATTTAGGTTTTAGAAACAAGAACTAAATTTCTTAAATTTTCAACTACAAATCTAAGTAAGAAGCTGCATTCTTTATCACTAAATTCATCAAAATCTATAATCTTCCAAATTTTTCTGCTCATAAAACTGCAGTTTTACAAAGAACAAAACATCTTAAAATGTATGCCATACCTTGGAAGAGATTGTCTACGTCCATTATAAATGTTTGTTTTGATTTTGAGGTCATTGTTAAAATATTCCACTATGTTAGCATTTTCAACTTATGGGTTTTTGTAAAATCTCTGATTTTCCTTTACATATGTTTGATATTTTTTCACGGGTGCATGTGTATTTCATCAGAGCTGACGTATGCGCAATTGGAAGCACAATTACTTAAAATCTTACACATGGAAGCAAACATAAATTTGCTAAATCTCCTTATTATGTCAAACACCAAACTAGACTTTAAGACAAAGGACAACAATCTTTTTAAAACATCTAAATAAATCTCTTTTCAAACAACTAAATATAAGTTTTTTAGATACATTAAGCACACAAATAGAACAAATATTGGGTTCTCCATAATAGTTTTTTTTTTGAATGGCGGCCCACCCCACGTGCCCTTTGATTCCAATAAATGCGTCGTTTTTGTAAAAATAAACAGCCATTCCTTTAAAACACTGCCATTTTATTCAACTTCCATTCTGAAAAAAAAATTAATTCACTGTTTAAATAGCAATTACTTACTGGTAAAATTATCTGTGTTTATAGGTTTAATTCTGATTTACAAATATTTATTTCGTTAGGATACTTCTCAACAGATTAAAGTTTTAAAATGATCTTTTCGAGGATATCAATTTATCTTTTGAGTGATTTTATAAACAATCTTTTGTTTAAAAAAATGCACCAATAAATATTCATTTTCTCAAAATTTTCCTGTTCCGCAGTGGACTGATTGTTAAGACACGGTTCCCAGCAGATCACCGAAATCAAGCATCACTGGCTACGGTCAGTGTGCAGGTGGGTGACCACTTAGATCAGTCTGCGTAGGGACTGAGGGTGTGCGGTCCTCGTTAAACTGTTCTACCATAAAGTGCTCGACTTCGCATGCAGGTCGTCGGGCTACCAAAGTGGGGGTGCCATCCCCTCTGCAGAGGATCAAAATTGTGATGGCATGTCTTCGGATCATCCTCAGGGGCGTTTCCCAGACCGTCGCCTATAGCCCATTGTGTAGCTCTAGGGCGACGTAAATTAACTACAGCTACAACAACTCAAAATTTTCCGGTTTAAATTATAAAAAAAAAAAGCTTTCGAACGATTTATAAATTAATCATTTTTTTTAGTTGACTTTTTCTGAAAAATAAATTATGTACAGAGATTACCTTTTAGTATGCCTTTAATTTTATTTTTTTAATAAACTATAAATTTTTCTCTTATTTTAATAAAGAGACAGAATTACTTTTTGAAATATACACATAAAAAAGTATGAGAGTTTAAAAAATTTTGAGCAAAACTCAAAGTGCCCTTCTCAGAGAAGAAGTGCCCTGCTCTTTTTTATTCCTAAGGAGATCTTTGAAAATATAATGAATTAAATGTTACATGAAATCAAAACTTTTTTTACAAATGTATCCTTATTCTGAGAGATTTACTGACTTAAATTTTACTAAATAGAATAGCATATAACATAGTAAGTTACAGTGAAATTCAGCGAAGAAAAATTACTTAAAATTAAAATTAAGAAATCTATACCTGAATGTTTTGAAACCTTCCATTTTAAGACGCCTGGACAAGACTGAATAGCCTTCACTCAAAGTAAACATTTCATTCTTTGAACCATTGAAAATGACGACTTTACTCTTAACTGCAGCATCTCCCTCAAACTATAAATAAATTATTTCAATTATACTAATAAATACACTACCCTACAATAATGAAAGAGAGAGACTTTCTGTTTTTGACATTTCTTTAAGTTTCTCAAGAAATACTCAAAGGTAACTTAAGAGATGCTTAGTTCATGTGATTTTTCATACTTAGCAATAAAATGTAAAGCTTACAGATGTTTGAAAGACCTAAAATAAATTACGAAAGAAAACAAGTATTTTTGTAAGTCCTATGCCAGAAAATCAAGCTTGTAACTTGTATCGATTACTTAGGTTATTTTTAATAACTGCATAAAGTAGTGAAAAAATATTTATGGCGCTATGGAGGAATTTTTATTATTAATGATGGATTATTGATATTATAAAGACACATAACGACATATTATGGAGACATTTTTATAAAAAATAAATTTTTTGGTATGAAAATGTGTAACTTCATGTGTTATAGATAAATGTAGCTACAAATAGCATAAATAGGAAATATAATTTCTTTTAGGTATTTCTGAGTGTTAACATTGGTCAGAAATCCCAATCACACAAAGTAGCTCGAAATTAACAGAGGTTCGGACCACTGTAAAATAGTAAAAAGTGGTCTAATCCCAGACCAGAAATTGATGTTAAGGAGTGGTGCTTGGTTTTTGTTTTTATTTATTTATTTTTAAATTTCAGTTTTGAGTTTCGGTCTGTATTATTTCAAACTAGTATATTTCATCATAATGGTGAACTTTAGAAATTTTTTGCAAGCCAGTTTTTCAATTACATTCATTTTATTAACTTAAACAAAAAATTTAAAAGACACATGTAATGGATCAATTAAAAATGTGTACCCGATTTATTAATATTTAGTCACTGTTTCTTGTGCCAGTGACTAAATTTCTAGCTCTGAATAATATGTTTTAGGAATATTTCAACACGAGTACCTGTTCATAGTCCCTAAGATTGTTAAAAGGCTTTGGGACCCCTATATATTTTATAAATACAGTCGAACCTCTCTAACTCGAACCTCGATTACACAAATTTTTCAATATCTCGAAGAAAAAATAATTCCCTTCAAATTTCCTATACACTAAAAAAAAAACTTGATTTAACGAATTTTTTGTTCTAATCCCTCGATAACTTGAATTTTTTTCTACATAAATAGAGTAGATTTTTTTCTAAAATTAAAATAATATTCCAAAAAAATAAAAAATGGCAGACAAGGCATGGAATGATGTGTAATGAATAACTTCTAGAAGTCTGGATTCATTAAAGATCACGAAAGTAGTCAAACAATCAATATTGTTAATTCTGCTGAAAACTACACCGAAAATGATTAGGACAGATTGACCGGACTCATGAAGCTTGATGACATGGAATTTCATGACTTTGTAAACGTAGATGATGCAGTAACAGTGTGTGGTCAGTGGGATGACAATGATATCATCGCTCAAACGTAAGCTTCTTGTGAACTATCAGAAGAAGAGGATGAGGAAATCGAAGATTTACCGCCCAATGTTACTAACAAACAAGCACTTTCTGCAGTGGACACTGTAAGGAGATTTATAGAGAGGCAGCCGAATATGTTACAGGAGACATTTAAAGCTATAGTCCACTTAGAAAGTGTTATAGACTAATTTTCTTACACATCTCTAAAGCAAACAACAATTGAACCTTTTTTTAAATGAAAGTGTAAAAAGTGTTTTAGAATATGTATGGAATAGTAAATAAGGTATGTAAAGAGCATTTTTCTTTATTCTACCATCGATAACATGCGGTTTTCGATAATTCGAATCTCAATTCGAATTTTCGATATCTCGAATTTTTTCTCCTCTCCCTTCAAGTTTGAGATATTGAGGTTTGACTGTACTTATATTTTAATAAAATATAGATACTTACTTGATAGGTACCAGTAATACTCTATAAAACTATTACCCTGATATGATAATTCTTTTTATTTTTTTCTGTGTTAGTGTCGAGTTGCTGCCACACTTAGTGACAAATTATAATATAATTTGCCACAAACGTCAAATTAAGAATTAATAAAAACTATATTTGTTTTAATTTGTGAAGCTGAAATAATTCCAGATTTTCTCTAAAAATAGGAAAAGTTACGAGCCTTTTAAATTACTTATGGATATATATATATGGATTATTATCAAAATAATTTCAAACAAGATAGAGCTTCAGAAACAATAATCTGAACTAAACATAGCTTTGTTTTTTCGGTTTCATGAAGTGATATCCTCCTGACAACATGTATTGCTTTTAAACCAGTTTTGATTACATTTCCGAATCATTACAAGAATTTTTTAACAATAACTCAAACAAATAGCTTTTTCGTAGTTTCATTAAGTGATATAATTCTACATAGTTGAGTGTAGTAGAAGATTTAGAAAAGGTAATAGCCCGACAAATATATTTAGTGTGGACAGTTATTAAACTATTTTTAAAACATTATTGAATCATTATAAAAATTTCAGAAACGATAAGTCAAACATATATGCATAGCTTTGTTTTTGTATCGTTATGAAGTGATATAATTTTACCTGGCTTGGTGCAGTAGGAGCCATTATTTATTTAAAAATTAAGTATCGTCAACAAATTGATTAAGTATTTAAAAGGGCAATTATGTTCATTTTTGTCATTAAATATATCATGATTTCAATTAAAATATGATTTTGAGACGACCATAGAGAGCCAAAATATTAACATGTTTGTTTATATCGCAGTTTGCAGTTAATAATGCTATCTTTAAATTTTGCAATAAAATTTTTTCACAGCTTTTAAAATTTTTAAGTAAAAGCAATTTTATTTATTATTGCTATTTAATTATCAGTCTTAGACGCCAAACAACGTCCTAAATTAGGTGATTTTTATAAAATAATATAGGACGCTTAATTTAACTGCAGCCCTAACTGATAACATTTCATCTCACAACTTTTGTAAACAAAAATATCGAAACATGTTGGAAGATGGTAAGAAATGTAATTTTTTATAAATAATGCTTTAGATAAATAAAAATTTTGTTATTCCTGAGATTTCAATGTATTCAGTATCTGTTTTTTTTTTATTTAAAAAATTATCTGTTGAAAAATTTTCTGGAGTACTTTGCAACTACATTAATATATTCATGCTCTTAATTAATACTTAGTTACTATATTTTTTTAATCTTTTTTTCAATTTTATTTTTCTTAAACAATTTTGAATTAGGGGAATTACATTGCTACTGAAATGATAGATTTTTGATAAAATTATTAATATATTCGTCCAATTGTAACAATTTAATGTTGGAGAACACAGTTGTGAAAATTTTGCAAGTCTTCCTTCTGTAAAACGTTTGATAAGGTTACGATAAAAAAAATTTATTAAGCCTGTTTCAATATTTACAAGCTTCTAATACTGAATTGACTAGCCGAGGGAAATTACTTTTCATATACATGTTTAGCTGCCTTTATTAGACAATTTTCCTATATGATATATTAACTCTAGTAGTTGCTGTGAGATATCATATTCAATTCGATGCCCTTTTTTTGTAAGTTTAATATTCAAATCTACTCATTAAACATGATTTACTTTGACAATTACGAGAACATTATCTGCTTTCATAATTTAAAGAACTTAATCTGTTATTGGTGGCATATAAAAAGTAATAATAATAACTATTGCTGCAGCACCTGTTTGGTTAAAGTAGGTTCCTATTTCTCCGTTTTCTGAGTATCTATATTAGTATATTATGAACCTGTTACCATAGTGCCTATATCAGTAGGATGAGGTACTTTTTACCACTATTAATAAAACATCAATGATAGTTTGACAATTTTTTTTAGCTGCATGGTGGTATAGTTTGTTATATAAAAAAATAATAACCTTAGTAAAATTATTTTAATATTGCTTTAAAATTCTTTATTAAGTGTAACATATTTTTACTGTCATTTTTTAAAAGTTTTTTCTTTGGTAACGTAATTAGGAAACAAAATAAATGTTAGATGTTTTAAATCTTTAATTAGCATTCTAAGTGATACTAGTTTTTGAATCCTAAATTTAACCTTAATGATTTTTTTGTTATATTTTATTCCAGAAAGAGTAATCCCAATAAGGGGTAAACCCAAGTCTGGAAGAGTATGGAAAAATGACAAAAATCGGTGAGTATAACGGTGAATATATTATCGGTGAATATATTTTTTCTGTCTTAATTTAGTCATATTAACGTGCGAGAACTGAATTTTAATCAATATGTGAGAACATTATTTATGCAATGAAATTTTAAAAATAATTTATTTTTAACAGAGACATTTCTTTGTCACGAATGTTGGCACACTACACTTTTATTTCAGTGAAGATTCAAAATAAAATATGTTTTTTTTTTCTTGCTGAAAAATTCACAATCCACCGATAGAAGATGATACGGTAGAATATTTTTGAAACCTTGGGATCATTGCATTAGTAGTGTATGTAATAAAAAGAAGAAAGAAAAGAAGCAACATAATTATAACAGCGATAAAGTTATGTTTATTAAAATATTTTATTGGAATGAATTAAAGAATAGAAATAATAGCAAGATACATTATAATAACAATGTGGATGGTGCTTGCATTAATTTTATATTGCCAAAATCAGTACACTGGTCTGAAGTCACCCTGTAAAAATATTCAGTGGTGTGCAAAATCACAGACCGTGGAATTTGTTCTTCATTGGAAAATTTTTCTCTCCCTTTCTCACAGATTGCCAGCATTATCAAACCTCAAACCACATTCACCGATAAACGATGGTAGAGTAAACGTAAGTTCATTTGTTGTGTGGATTTTCAGTACTTTGCTTTGATGATGCTCTAATTCCAGTGCAGAGGGATTTTATCTTATTATTTGGTAGATTGCTAATTAGAAATATAAATAAATTTTTTAAGTGGTGTAGCAAATAATTTGCCATATTTGCAACACATGTTTGCTTATTATATTGTTTCATTTTTTAGATTATAGAATTATTTATTTAATTTTAAAAAAAATATGGAGATATGGTGTAAGAGCTCCATTAAAAAAAAAGGACACACTACAAAATAAGATTGAATTTGAGAAAAATGGAATAGAATGAATTGGATTGCCCACGTGATTCGAATGAGTGACGACAACACAATAAAAAAGATACTGCTTTTGAGATTTTATTTTTTTATGTGCTTTATTCACCTGTTAACTCAATTAGCAAAATAAATTGACAAATGAGATGGACCTCGTTATTTCCAGAATTATTTAAGGAAACTAAAAAATCATTTCATACAATTTTAAAATTTGTTTATGCAAAAATAATAATGAGAAATAATTTTTTATTATTTTATTCCATAATGGATAAAAGCAAATTTAATTGTAAGGTAGAGGTATCAATTATTATTATTTTGTAATATAATTCAAACTATAAAACTTCAACAAAATTGGTTTAATATTTTGTAAGAAATCAAATGTTTGAAACTGAATAACTCTAAAGCTTTTTTCCCAATTTTGTTTTTCAACATTTAAAATGGCATACTTTAAAATAATGTTAGAATTCATAATTATTGTAAATTAAAATATCAGATTTAAATAATTAACTTATTTAAGGTTAGGCCCTTGAACTATTAATATTGAATTCTAATCGGTAAAACTCTGATCATTAGCTCAAATTTTACTCAAGATCTACACTCTTTGTGCACTGTACATCCTTGATAATTGAACGGCACTATCTAACCAAAATTGTGATTAATGTATGTATTTTATTTTTAGGTTTTCCAGCATGTGTCAAGTAAAACCATTAAAATCTTCTTGGGAGAAAAAAGTGAAAATCCGTGAGGAGCAAAAAGCAATGAAGTTGCATGCATTAAGAATAAAAGAGGAAAAGGAAAAAGAAGAACAGGTATTTCAATATTTATTTGTTATGCATTTTGGTAATAAATGTTTCATAAATTGCCACAATAATTTGAATGAACAATATGAAGATACTTATAATAGTCTTCTATAATATATGATAGTTTTCTTTTGGATTCGATTCGTCAATTTTTCATTTTTAAAACGAAAATGTCGAAGTTGTAAAGCTGTTGTCAGCTATATAAAATGTTTCATTTTCCAAAACTCTATCTCACTTGAAATAAATATCACAAAAAGTTCTTTTTGGAACTTTTTTAATAGTCTATGTTAGTAATATTTCTAAAATCCAACAGATGACACTCTGTGCAGCAATGTAAAGTTGATTGTTATTTAAATTCCTGCCTGACACTGTAGCATTAACATCTTACCTTTTTTGTTATTAAAATATATTTTCTGTTGAAGGTGTTTTATAATGATTTGAACCCCATGATCATCATATTTAATAGTCTATAGCTAATTTCCTTTTATCATAAACTTTACATTCAGTATAATAAATCTGCTTTTTTTTTTTTTTTTTTCAAAATGTTTCTTAAAAACTTTTTTATTTTTTTAGTTGCGTAAACAACGTAGAAAAGCTAAAATCGAGCGACAAAAAGAAAATGAAAGAAAAGCTGAGATTGTACAAGTTGTAAGTATTGCATTAAAGTTTTTTTTATGTGTTAGCAGTTCTGCTTTTTTTTCTATTTAGTTTTAATTGCTGATTTAACTTTCAAATGTTCGAGTTAATCCTATGTACTTTTCAATTGACTGAAAACAGTACAAAGTTGATGTAAATTCTACATATCCTTATTTTCTTCTGATATGATTATATATTTATAATTTTTGTGTGATTATAAACAAAAACGTTATTTTTTCTTACGTGAAAATATTCTTCATTATTTCAAATTACAATAAATACGTTTTTCTAAAAATAACTATAAAAACTATATGCTTTTAAAAAAAATTAAAAACGTGTCGCTGTGTTATCAATGCATTTGCACTTTTAACAATAGTATTTTTTTTAAAATTTATACTGGCCATTAAAATTGCTTCTCCGTGAATCTGGTATGCCACTCTTGTGAAATTTGCTTAACATATAAAACATAGTGCCATTAAGATATAAACAGGGGTCGCATTCCCCCTAAAATTTGTAAAATTCCTAAAACTATGTGCAAACCCTAAAATTCCTAAAAATCTGATAAAATTTTGTTGGTGTTCCTAAAAAATGAGAGTTATAGGCTAAATATAAATAAAAAAGCAATAATCTAAAATATAAGAATTTAACTACATTAATTAAAACTGTTTTAATTTTGCCACATGGGAATTCCGATCCTGAGAGAGTTTTTTCGATAAATAAAGCAATGCTTAATGTGAGTCACCATGAGAATACAGTGAAACCTCCCTTAAGTGGACATTCATGGGACCAAAAAATTTGTCCGTTTATGAGAGTTGTCCGTTTACGGGAAGGGTACCCTAATAACGAAATTTAACACCGAAAATTGTTTTTAGAATATTCTCAAAGATGTAGAAATAATTAGATAATATCTACAAGGATACTGTAAATATCTGCAAGAATATTTATTTAAACAATAAGAAAGATAAAAAAAGAATATATAAAGAAGTTTGATATAAATACATAATTCTGGATGTAGCTACAGATAAATAAATATAATTTTCCTATTAGCATAGATACTCAAGTTAGACATATGATACCAAATAGGACCGTACTGTCCTCAGTCCGTTTCAATTATTAGGTTCATGTCCCCTTACACCTACTTATCATTTGACATGGAACATGGTTAATACCTTCTTGGAAAATCAACCTCCCATGATTCACAGAAAAAAAAAGTAATGCATACCTGTAAGTCATGACGACCTATGGAGATGATTATTCGCAATTGATCAGCTATCAAGTGTCTGAATAAATGTTTCATTTATATAAACACCTCAAAGATTATACTTCTGTTCTCTTTTTTTTACCCCAGTTGTGTTAAATACAGTCTTCAAATTGATAAGAAAATTGAAGAAATTTTCAATGGGGAAGAAGCATTGAGAGAAGTCATTTCAACTTGAGGGGTCTCATAACCTGTGTGGTCCAGATGAAAAGATCAAAAGATGCCAATGTCAGAATTATTTCAGGAGTGCAGTACCATTTTCTCTCCTTTCTTTACAAAGATAAGGCAAAGTGACAGGAGAAAGATTGATTTTTCGGTGGTGAACTAGCTTAACAATATTTTTAGTTATGGATAAAGAAAAAGGTTTATTTACATGCTTTAAAAATGGTGAAAAGTTGAATTTTTTTAGCTTGCAATTTATTTAGAAAAAGTAGTGTCGGGTTTGTAGAGATAAAAAACAATGTTTCAGGACCAAAATGATTGTCCGCGTCCGGTTACGGGAATGTCCGCTTTGCGGAGAATGTACGTAACGGTTTATTCATAGAAGATTCCCGGGGAATTAAAAATATGTCTGTATTGAGAGGCGTCCGTTTTGAAAGTGTGTCCTTAACAGGAGGTTTCACTGTACTATTATGTCTCTTAGACTAATCAAAGATACCATTCGAAATTATGGAGGAGCGTTGAAGATCACCACAAAACTATTGAGGGCAGTAAAAGAATCTCACAAATCATATCAAGAATGTATTAGAAAAATGATCATGATTAATTGGTTTTTCTCTAACTTCTAATATAAATTGCTGATTTGAAATCTAATAATATTACTCAATAGTTTTTCTTAATAAAGTAAGGTAAAGGGTAATAATAAAGTTTTGATTAAGAAGGTAAAAATTAAATAAAAATCCAAGTTGGTGTTAATTTATTTTTTTCTCTTGATTTATTCTCACTTTTGCCTGTTCCTGAATTATGCACTTAATTTCTGATAGGTAATATGTGATGTTGAAATTTCATTTTTACACTTTAGAGATTTCATTCTTGACTTAATAAATTTCAGAGCTTTATTTTATGGCTTGCAATTATTTATGATATGTGTGGATGAATTGTAATAATCTTCTGTTATGTAATAAACTACCGTGGGATCTGTTTTTATCCTAGCGAAATCATACATTACCCCTAAAATTTTTTGAAAAAAGTTCCTAAAATTACCCTAAAACTTTAAAAAACTTTGCTGCTACCCCTGTATAAAACATGCAATGAATTATTCAATTTGCATTTTAACTTTATTTTTGATTTAAAAATTTGTTATAATGCCTTGTATAAGAAGGATAAATTCTTATACATGTGTCTTACTTTAATTAAGAAAAAATTATAGCTTGGTCCATCCCCCTCGAGAATAGTATTGTTGCCTTTGTACATATGCTGATCACCTCTTATTTGCATATCTGGCATTTGAAACATCAATCGTTACATTTCAATTGTTAAACCCATGGATCTGTACTGTTTTCAAAAGATCTCTGGTGCTATTTTCCTTCCTTGATACAAAACATGTTTGAAAGTCACCATTATCAGCATGTTGTCCCAATTTTTGAATAGTCGATAATGTCTTGTCCATGGTTACCAAATGAGTGACTTAGCACTACTCAATTCTGTGAATCAACTAAGGCGTGATATTAAGGCTGCATTGACTTATGCTATCACAAATGCCAAGCACTCTCTGTTTAACTCCGTGCCAGAGGTGGAAACTTTTTATAATGGTTTTTCAGGATCTATATGTCCTAATTTCCTGTAAATTTAATCAATTGCTCGCTCCCTTATATCCAATAAATATCCGGTCATTTGCATTCTCTTCTGGTGTAGCGCTTTGTAGTCACATGAGTAATTAGTGGTTTATTTGCAACTTATTTCGTAAATCAGATTTTTAATGTTTATAATTTAGCTAGAAAATCTTTCTTATAAAAATTCCTCATTTTCATCTCCGAATTTTTTTGTCAAGATATTCATTCAATATGTTTTCCATGTGACATTATGTATTTGGTTGGACGCCAGGCAGTATTCTTTTTTTCTTCACATTTCTATAGTATCAAACTCTTTATATTTTTCTTTGCAATTATAAAATGTTCTTTAACAAGTCGAATGACAATCAGTGTAGCAATGTTTCAAACATCAGTGAGTGTGCCTAGGTTAATGATAATGTCTATCATGATATACTCTTAGTGAGAGTATCACTGTTGAAGTTGTAATAAAGTAAATCGATGCACTGCCTTTAAAGAACAAATGTTGTTTAAGATGTATGTGTAAAGTTTGATACCTAACTATGCTTATTTGCAAATAAAGTCTAATGAAAAGAAAATGTATGGAGCGAAATGAAGATTTAAAAGATGCATGCTGAGTATTTTGTATATATATATTTCTATATATGTATGCATATATATATGTGTGTGTATATATCTGTACAGTGAAACCTCCTGTTATGGACACTCCTGTCAAACGGATGCCTCTCAATACGGACATGTTTTTTTTTTCCCCAGTGAATTTTTTATGAATAAACCTGTACATTTTCCACACAGCGGACACTCGGGTAACCGGACATGGACAGTCATTTTTGCCCTGGTGTGATGTTTTCTATCCTTCAAACCGGACACTACATTTTCGAAATTTGAAAGGAAAAAAACTATTTCTGCTTTAAAAAAAAAATTCAAAATTTCTTCATTTTTCACCTTGCCTTATCTTCGCAAAGAAAGGCGAGAAAATTATACTACTCTTGTGAAATAATGCTGACAGTGACATCTTTTCATCAAGACAACACAGGTTATGAGATCCCTCAAGTTGAAATGAAGTCTTAAATACTCTCAATGCTTCTTCTCTACTGAAAATAGGTCCTCATGCCTTACAGGTATACATTGCTTTTTTTTTGTAAGGAGGTATTAACCACGTTACCTATCAAGTGATAGGTATTATAAACCTAATAATTGATGACTAAAATCTTGTATTCGGTATCATGTGACTAACTTGAATATCTGTGTTAATAGGAAAATTACATTTATTTTTCTGTAGCTACATCTGAAGTATTTATATCAAACTTTTTCATATATTCCTTTTAGATAGAAAAAATAAATTTTTTTTTTTTTGAAGTTTAAATAAATATCCTTGTAGATAGTTATTGTAGATTATTTAATTATTTCGATATCTTTGAAAATATTCTAAAAACAATTTATGGTGTTAAACTTCATTAGTAGGGTACCCTTCCTGTATACGGAAATTTTTTTTGGTTGCAAGAATTTCGGCTTGACCGAGATTTCACTGTGTATATATGCCTGCATGTATATAATTTTTTCATTTCTTTGTCAAGTGCTGTTTTTTAATTAGTTTCTTAATTGCAGATTAAAAACTCAGCTAAAATTAAGAGAATGTCTAAGAAGCAGTTGAGGACAATTGAAAAAAGAGATACAAATCCTACAAATACATGAAAATGTTGTGTAGTACTTATAACATGTAAATAAAGATTTCAATGTGTTATTTGTTGTATTGCAGTATCTACCTTGTATTATTCTTTTAATAAAAACTTTAACAAAGTTTTTCAAAATTTTTAATTTTTATGATAAGCTTACAATTTCAATCTCTTAAATTCAAATTAGTGCCCGAGTGCTAAAATTATGAAGAAAAAAATTTTGTTCAATTAAAAGAAAGATTTCACATAAGCGAACCTGTGCTGCTACAGTCCGCCTGTGATAGTAAGGAGCTACTCACCCAAATGTGTGGGTGTAGAAAAGGATTAAATAAGTGATGCAAAATAAAAAATTTCCACTTTCAAACGTTTAACTCTTGAAATGCAAGGGAGCCAATTACTGTATCGAAGAATGAGTTTATTAATTATCTATATTCACACGCACCTCAAAAGTGTTTAATAGAGCTTACTTTTGCATCATAAAAATTATTCAGTTAAAAATTCTTATCTTAGATTCAAAATAAGAATGCTTTAAAGTCCTTGTTTTTTTTCCTTTAAAAGGAAGAGCAAAAATAATTTTTTTTATTTTTATAATGTCATTTATTAATTTCTCTTTTCTTTTCAAAAATCCTATTTTGTTGAAATAAGTTGTCATGCGAATTCGAGTTATCTTTTTTTGACGAGTAATTTCACATCATTAGATGTTATTTGATGTCAGTAGTTATTTGGAATTTTTCTATGTGGTTTTTCAATCCAGCTTTCTGCTGTTTTTTATATTATGTTTCGACACACGAATTTCAAAATTGAGTTATTATTTTGACATATTTGATTTAATAGTAAATCTATTTATTTTAGTTGTTTTGTCAGTAATTTTTACATGGTTTTTTAAATTTCGATATTTTTAAATTAACGCGATGTAGTTCCTTTACCCGAATTTCAGACTGCAGTAACAACCATTAACGATTTATTGGAAAATCGGTCTTGGTAGTATTTTATCCAATCGAGATTTTTCAGAGTTTATTCCCCCATCCCGGGGGGTAAACCCCTGGTCGTGTGTGCAATTGTTTAAAAACTGCATAAAATGCTAACTGCTCGCACGTGCGTGAATCACCTGCAGTGAGAATGCTTCGTAATTTTTTTATTCATTTATTTTTTCACGCTTTCGATTGGCAGAGATTTCTTCCTAATTTTACGTGGTTAAGAGAGTTTTTTTTTTTACAATTATATATCTACAATTACTATTCTGCTTAAATTTTTAAGTTCAATATTTTTAATACGACATATATTTCTCGCTATTTTTATACTTTATTACGTCATGTCTTTTTTACTTTTGAGCTAGTACTTATTGACGCTCTCCATTCACGACGATTCCAGTGTAAAATCCGTTTTTCCAATTGCCTTTTCATCCCTTTCATTTGATGTTATATTTTTTCTTAATCATGAAAATCAGGTGTAACGTAACAACTATTTATTAACGTTTTCTTTCAAAAATCCTTTTTTTACTCACTTAGCTCTAAACTGATTTCACTTTTTTTCTTTCTTTTATTATTGGGTAGGCAGACCTGCCAACTCTCCTGCTTTTGCCTCAAATCTTCGCCCTCCTGCCGTTAGGATGTTTTCTCCTGCTCTTTTCTATTTAGTGCACAACAGAGAGAGAGAGAAAAAACAAGCGATCATCCGCACGTAGGATACAACCCCCGTTTTTCCTTTGCTTCTTCACGTTGTATGAAATCATGATTACGTCATCTGACGCGGTTAGAATCAAAAAATTTATTCAGATTTAGTGATTGGTACCCAAAACTAAAGAAATTGTTAATACTTTATGCAGTGGTGACCGACAGATTTTTTTTATTCTGCTGTCAGAAATTTTGTTAAATGTTGCAATTATTTATATCTTTCAAAAGTTTCCCTTCAAAAATGAAATTTTAACTAATGCTGAAGTAGTTAATTTAGAAAATGTTTCCAATGCTTCTTTTTAGAGTATTAAGTTTTTCATTGATAATTTTCCTGTGTTGGTAAAGGTTTTAGGTCAAAATGATACTCATTCATATCTTGATACTCTGGAATCACAATTCTGTGCTCTTCAATGTGATGCAAATTCTCAAATGTCATTATCTACTGATAGGATAGACATGAAGTGGTCAAGAACCTTTTATTTTATAGTAAGAACACATATCCTTATTAATCAGTGTCCGAATCTTATTGTGATCTATTAATGTATATAATATATTTTGGAATAAACTTCTTGTAGGAAATGTGAATCAGGTGTAATTTTCAATATTGCGCTATGTCGCAATGCAAAAAGGGTCTCCTACTTTTTTTTCTTCTAAGCTTGGCAAGTCTGGGTAGGTAAATGTCGCTCTCTTAGTCAGTCCAAAACTTTTTCTTAAACTTATTTAAAAAATTTTACATCTGCATTTTAACGTTTAAAGTATATTAATAAACTATGTATACTTAAACGTGAAAAATAATGTGTTTTGTAACTGTTTAGTTATTTAACTCACCAGGATATATTATTTAAAAGTTTGAACCTGGTGTAAGAATTTTTTCGACAATTTACGGAAAAAGACTAAATTTTTAGTTTTGCCCATTGCAACTCTATGTATTCTCACTAATTGTAGGATTAATAAAATTCTTTGAAATCAGATTTAACTAACGTTTTTATCATAGATTTGAAGCTCTAAACTGAGACAAGTAATAGTTACTGATATCGTTCTCCTGTACAAAATTTTTTATGATAAACATTTTCTTAATAATAATACAAGTTATGTGCTATAATGTGATGATTCTAGTAAAAGAACTTTCTTATGCCTAAATCTGTTCTTAGAACTTTATAGTAGGATTATATTAAAAATTGTCCCATTCCTGGTAAATGTCACTATCCTTGCATTCTCTAAGCCAAAAGACTACCTAATTAATCAACATAGTTAAAGTGAGTTTCCATAATTTTTCTCTTTTTTAACGCTTTAAAAATAATTATTTTTTTTTTTAAGCACTTTCAGTTTTTGAGAATTTCTGATTTGTCAAGTTGTGGGAGAATCACCCACTTATGATAACATATAAATTCACTGCAAGTGTGTTTCAATCTTTTCTTACGCATTGTAATTGTTCCTAAACTTAAGAAATCTTATCTAGTGGTATTATCTATATATATATGCAATCATTGTGAATGGAGAGCGTCAAAAAAAGCTAGCTAAAAAATAAAAAGACAGGACGTAATAAAGAATAAAAAATATCGAAAAATATGCCATATTAAAAATATATAACTTAAAAATTCACGCAGAAAAGGCCAGAATAGTAATTGCAGATATATAATGGTAAAAATTTAAAAAAAACTCTCTTAACTGCGTAAAATTATGAAGAAATCTCTGCAAATCGAAAGCGTTGAAAAATAAACGAATCAAAGAATTATGAAGCATTCAATCATGCACTAGCAGTTCGACTTTTATGTAGTTTTTAAACATTTGTTTGCATAAGATTCATCACACACACTGCATGAATAAAGATTTTATTCTGTATGAACACAATATATATTTAAATTTCCTTTGTCAGAGAATGCTTTATCACATATGTTGCAATTCTTTAATTTACTCTTGATCTCATCTTTTCACATATAATGCATGAATAAGGCCTGTCATTGGTGTCTCAGCGTTTCCTTGTTTTTTATAAAGACTGAGTGAGTAAGGTTGCTTATCAAAATGCATAAGAAGGAATTTCTTAAAATGGCTTTTTACTTTGTATGCATTATTAATGCATGAATAAGGTCACTCTGAAATATGACTTAAATAATGTCTATTCAAATTGGATCCTTTTTACAAAAAAATATATCTTCAGTATGAACAAAATATTGCTTATTTTTTTTAATCTCATAAACTAAATTTTTCTTCAGTATAAGCATAAATAATTTTCTTCATAGTGCATAAATAATTAAAAATAAATCCTCAGAATAAACATAGATAATTAGTGCGTAAAATAATTTTCTTCAACAAAAGAACCCTGCATGGTTAAGTCTAGACTACAGGATTAGCAATTTATATTTTTTAAACTCTATTTATGTTCGTAAAATTTATCACACCCACTCAATGAGGTTTTGCAAGAGTGTGAACACCAAGATGTTTATCTAAACTAGCTTTCCTCGTGTAAGATTTATTACACACATTACACGAATAAGGTTTTTCTCCTGAATGTATACGACTATGTCTATTTAAAGTTCCTCTTTTAGCAAAAGTTTTATCACACACACTGCATGAATAAGGTTTCTCTCCCGCATGAACAACAATATAATGCTGATTTAAATTCTGTTTCCTTGCAAATGTTTTATCACAAACACGGCATGAATATGGCTTCTTTTTAAGATGTACAAGATGATGTGCTTTTAAGTGATTTTTCAGAGAAAATGTTCCATCACACAGACTGCATGAATAAGGTTTTTCTCCCGTATGAACAAGATGGTGTTTTTTTAAATTTCCTATATTAGTGAATGTTCTGTCACAGATGCTGCATGAATGTGGCTTTTCTCCAGTATGAACTAGAAAATGTTTATTTAAATTTCCTTTACTAGTGAATCTTCTATCACAGATGCTGCATGAATGTGGCTTCTCTCCAGAATGCACAAGAGTGTGTCTAAATAAGTATTCTTTATGAGTGAATGTTTTATCACACACATTGCATGAATATGGCTTTTCACCTGAATGTACAAGACCGTGTTTAAGTAAGTTACCTTTCTGAGTGAATGTTTTATTACATACAGTGCATGAATAAGGTTTTTTACTACTAGTATGAGGAAGATATTGGTTTTTAAAATTACTCATAGCCGTAAAAGATTTGTCACACATTATGCATGAGCAAAGTCTCTCAGTAATATTTCAGCCTTTCCATATATTCTTTGACATCGACTACATAAATGAGGCTATCCTTCAATATGTACAAGAAAGTATTTCTTTAAGCAGCTTTACTTTATGAAAATTTTAATACGGACGCTGTATGAATGATATGTCTCTGAAGCATGAATAAAATAACCTCTCTTTAAATTAGATCATTTAGCAAAAGATATATCTCTCTTTGAAATACGAACATGAGATAGTTCATTTAATCCAATTTTCAATGAGAAAGTTTTAAAAATACTTCAAATAATGTTTGAAATCACGCTAGCATAAAATTTTTTCTTTAAATAATAACACATAACTGTATGAAATTTCTATTACTAACTGTATCAATAGGTTTAAACTCACAAATACATTATTTTAAACTAAAATTCTAAGGGAAACCGCTATAATATAAACTTTATTAACATATTTATTGGATTTTCTGTAAGTGATTTTTCACATGTATAATATCATTAAGTCTCTTTTCCATTAGACAACTATGTTTTAACCACTCTTCTGTCTAAGGAATGGAAATATTTGCTAATATAAATGACATCTTTGGGTGTAAGTTTTATGAGTTCTTTGCATGGCTAAGGTTTCCTTATAGAATTAGAAGTTTTTTTTTTAAATGCCCTGCCTGAGAACAAGCTTTATTGCACACACTACATATAAGTTCTCATATCTCTGCACATAGGTTAGATTCCTCTATGGGTTAGATAAGTTCAATCAAAAGTAAAACAAACAAAGTAACGAATATAAAAAATAGTGAAATTAAGCGGAGAGTTTTATGCTTTTACTTTTGTGCGCTTAAATCACTGTCTGATTTCAGAACTTGAAAGGACTTTGGCTGCCGAGCACTACGGCAATGGAAAATCGCACACAGTAAAAACTTAGGGAACATTCCTGCTGAATCATGCTCACGCACCGTGTAAATTGCTGTTGTTAATTTATGTCGCACTAGAGCAGCACAATGGGCTATTGGCGACTGTCTGGGAAACATCTCGGAGGATGATCCGAAGACATGCCATCGCAATTTTGATCCTCTGCGGAGGGGATGGCACCCCCGCTTCGGTAGCCCAACGACCTACGCGTGAATTCGAGCACTTTACGGTAGCACAGTTTAACGAGGACCAATACCGCACACCCTCGGTCCCTACGCAGACTGATCCAAGTGGTCACCCACCCGCACACTGACCGTAGCCAGTGATGCTTGACTTCAGTGATCTGCTGAGAACCGTGTCTTAACGATCAGTCCACTGCGGGACCCGTTTAAATTGTATAGAGATAATGGCTTTTAATCATCTTGTTCGTTATGGGTTAATTCGAGAACATAATGACCCATATGGAGAAAATAATTCGAACTTCCTTACTATTTATTTTGATGGAGATCAGTAAGCAAGTGGGTGACATTTTTGAACAGCCTGCGAACCGGCTAAGCAAAAAACTTAAAGAGTCATCACAATTGTGCATGTCTAGCCATGCAATAACATATGTAGTGCGACGTAAATAAATTATCAACCCACATTCTGGCGGAACTGAAGGAAAACTCTTAAATAATGGTAGCCCGAAAATGTCCGTCTGGCTGGAGGGCGCATTCACGCGTTGCGATCACAAATATCTTTTTTTAATAACTCCTAAATCATTTGAATTACCAAACTCATTATAGATGGGTGATCCTGTAAAGCTAAGGGTGGTGGCGCTAGTGGTTAAATTGCTCTCGCAAGTCTTCCGGGTCACTGCTTCCGATATATTTTTACGCCGCAGATTGAAAAAACACGCAATCATATTATTGCATCATATCTTTTGCAGTATTTCACATGTACCGAGTTCTTTCTTTCAACCTTTAAACTTCAGCATTATCATATTAATATTATAATCATTAGAATATTTTCTAATTAGGCTAACTTAAAAAGATATTTTTAAAGATATTTTTGGCGACATTTTATTCAAATGTAGCCAAATAAGGGATAAAATACAAAACATGGCAAACCTTAAGAATTATTCATAATGAGATATTAACTTTCCAAAATTTTTTTTGGCCTTACGACCTCTGAGAATCAATACATTTCTGAAAGCTCTTATGAATGGTACAATAACAAAACTGCATAGAATATTAGGCTTGTTCACACATCGCCTCGTCATAACATAAGCGGAGGGATACACCGGAAATTTTCCAACTTTCTTCCGGTTTAAGGACGCTTGTTATTGTTTACATTAGGCCACCCATTCATAGTTAAATTATCAGCCCTTTTTTTTAATTATTTTTTTTACCGGCATTGATAAATATTTAGGATTTGTTGATCGATCAAATAGCTACTGAGAAATTCAAATTCAAAAATGTCAAATACTTAAATTGATAAGCTTGTCTAAATATTTTTGTACAAAAGTAAAAGAACAATTTAAATATACAACTTTTTCGAAATTTAATTTCTCAGAAACTAAACTATTCGACGGAATTTGCTCAAATTTTGTATTTTGCTATGAAAAATTACTTTCTTTAAAATTATGAAAAAAAATTGCTCCTTACACTTCAAAACTTTTTCGACCATTCTTGTTGTTGTTGTTGTTAATTTACGTCGCACTAGAGCTGCACAATGGGCTATTGGCGACGGCTGGGAAATATTCCGGAGGATGATCCGAAGACATGCCATCACAATTTTGATCCTCTGCGGAGAGGATGGCACCCCCGCTTCGGTAGTCCGACGACCTGCGCGCGAAGTCGAGCACTTTACGGTAGCACAGTTTAACGAGGACCAATATCGCACACCCTATGCAGACTGATCCATGTGGTCACCCACCCGCACACTGACCGCAGCCAGTGATGCTTGACTTCGGTGATCTGCTGGGAACCGTGTCTTAACGATCAGTCCACTGCGGGACTTCGACCATTCTTAAATATAATAATAAATATTTTCTAAATTGTTGTAGTTGTAGTTCACGTCGCACTAGAGCTGCACAATGGGCTATTGGCGATGGTCTGCGAGACATCCCTGAGGATGATCCGAAGACATGCCATCACAATTTTGATCCTCTGGAGAGGGGATGACACCCCCGCTTCAGTAGCACGACGACCTGCAGACGAAGTCGAGCCCTTTACGGTAGAACAGTTTGACGAGGACCAATACCGCACACCCTTAGTCCACTGCGGGACAAATATTTTCTGAAAGTTATTTTATCCAAGGAGTTATCTTTGAATAAACGAATTTTATGACTCTGTTTAAAAAAAATTTCAATTCGCTTAAATAGTTCTCGAGGCATAGCGAAATACGCAAAAAGTAAAATTAGCATTTAGGGTTCCAAACTTTGGAGAGCTCTCCTGGTAAAACTATTGGGGCCATATCTCCCAGATTGCAGCTATCCCCTATAATTCGGGAGTTAAAAATCTTAATTCATTTAGGAAAAAAAAGGTATTTTTATGCAGAGAGAGTACGTTTTTGTGCCTTATTTCGTAACTAAAAATATCATCCGCTCTTATTCTTTTTAGAATTCTTATTCTTGTCATCATCGCTATTTTAATCACTCTAATTAATTATTTTGACCTTCCATTAACAAGAATTTTTTCTATTAAAGGACTTCAATAAATCTAACATTTTATTCTTGAAAATCAACTTTGATTTATATTGAACTTGTGAAGTTAAGCGATAATTTTTATTTATTTAAAACTAATCGACATTGCACTTTGAAAGCATACAAAATTGAAAAATTTTCTGCAAAATGTGATGTGTGTAAGTTCTTTTTTCGTATAAATATTTGAATTTTTTTTTGAATTGTTCTAATTTAAATCATGAAAATCTAGAGAAAAAAAGTTTTTTTTTTTTAAAATTTTACTCTTAAAAAACTCTGGGAGTTTCCTTTATGTCTGGAGAGTGGCAGCCCAGATACAGAATGCCACTGTTGTTGTGTCACGGTGAAAACTTGGATGTATTTTTCGAATAAACAGAAAATAGTATAGAGGATGCTTTACCACGAAAGAAACTTTTCATTCCAAAATCTCTTACCCTCCCCCCCCCATACGTATTTTAAAGTACATAAAAGTAAGTTCAGGCAAAACATGAAGTTTCTAATGCTGAAAAGATAGTTTTGAAATATCAGTGTAAAAAAAACTATGAGAGGATAACTCAGGTTTACGTAATGTTTACAGTTCTCTTCCAATAATTTATCTGCCTTTTTAAGATTTTGGAATTTTTTTCCAGCAATTGACACTTTGGCTTCTAGGTTCGCCTGAACTCACTTTTCCTATACATTAGTTATGGAGGGGAAGCAGAATTTCCGATGAGAAGTTTTTCCCTTGGTACAGTTCCCTTTAAGACTCAAAGGGAAAGATTCACTTGGTTTTCGGTACACATATGTAATACCAGTTTTTCGCTCGACACTTTTCGCTTCAATGTAAAATTTGTGTTCAGGCATTAATGGCGTTTGGTTTAAAGTTTTAAATACAAGTAAAAATTTTGAACACTTACCCGACTTAGTGACTCATTATGATTTACGCTAAGAGATAATCTCTTTTGCCTTCTCCTCCGATTAGCCCGAGGACTGCGAAAATCTAATATTGATTCCATCTGTGCAAAGATATTATAATTGTATGCAATAACTTATTCGCAATCTCTGTCTATCAATGAAAGAATAATTCTTTTTAATGAGCAATGTATATATAAAAAAATAACCAGAGTGTCCAGATTGTTAATGTATACTTTTAATTAACGTATTTCGAAAGCATGCTGAGAAAAGTTACAACATGCGTGATAGTCAAACTTAGACAACATCTTATCTAAGAAGTTTCATTGTTAAGATGATTCAGATTAGAAATATCTTTTTTTCTGCTGTTGAATTCTTTTCCCTCTTATCACCAGCTTGGTTTTTTTCTCTCTCTCTCCGGTATCTGTAACCTTTATTATTATTAAAAACCATGAATACTTTATTTCATTATTATCTCATTAAATAAAGCATTAAATTTCTCATTCATTCTGCAAGTGGTGGTCAGAAAAACTGATATTAAGTTGCTGTATTGGATGATATTTGCCTTGAACCATAATATCGTTCAATTTTGCAGCAACTTTAATTAAGGATTTACATTTGAATCACATTTTCATTCAAATTGAAGCATGCTGAAATCAAATTGTATGATAAGTTGCAGGATAATACGGTTTATATCGTTTTAAGGTTGTCGTGAGCTAAATAGATATGAGAGAGGCTTCTCAGTTTTACGTATAAAAATACGTAAAACCGCGAAACGCTAACGTACGCTCCGAACTGCGCATACGCCCCTGAATTACGCCAGCATCATCGGGAAGTGCCCATGCAAACTTATGTGAACGCAGGAAAAGAGATTTTGCAAAAACCTGTCTGTTAGAAATGTTAACGTTGAGAGCAGAATATCACAAACAAATTTTAATAATAATTTCTAAAGCCGATCTTTAGCCTGGTCGGTAGGGAGCTGGGCCCTTGTCCGAGAGTTCGTGGGTTCGAACCCCGTCGGCCGAAGACTTCCCGTGTTGTAAAGTGACTGATGCACGTTAAATCTGTCGAGTCTCAAAAGTCCTCCGTGTTTCCATAACAAATCAATACCTCTAGGGGTACTGGATTGGAGATCGATCGTTCTTTGATTCAGGTCAAAATTACGATCTGTGGATGAATGAATGGATGTATGAATGGGTCCACCCTATAAACGGGTGTGACGAATGGCGTGGCAGAAGTCGAAGTCATGGCCATAGGTGGCGCCACTGGAAAAACAAGAACAATCGTACCACCTCTGCCTAAAACAGGCATACGTCAACAACAACAAAGTCGATCTTGTGAAAGATTTTTCGTGATAATCATATTTGATCAAGTGGGAGATTTATTTAACATCGTTCTAATGTAATTTTTAATAATATGCCTAGAAACAAGGACATATTTATAAATTTTTAAATAATGGGATCTTTTTATGGCCAAATGAATGTTACAAACGAAAATGAGACATCAGTTTCTACAAGTAGTAGTGATTCAAACAAAAATATTTTAACATGTTATGTTTTATTTTATAACCGTCGTTATACAGCCAACCCAATTTTTTGGGTTCATGACTACTAATGTTCAATTCCGTAGACTTGTAATTTTGAACCCAATCCAGACGACAAGGGAACTCCTGGATCAAGTAGTGGTAGAAATTTGCCTTCATGGAGGACTTTTTGATAGAACTAACCCGGATTTTCGTTACAGGGAGAGGGAAACCACAAAAACCTCCCACGGTTAACCTGACGGCAAGGGAACTCTAATCCATGATTAATAATAATCTAATGATGATCTAATCCGTCTACCATTGAGGATATTTTAAGTCAGCACTGTGATCGGTGCAAGCCGGATGCGGAATTCTTATTGACCAGCCATCGTTGGGATTCAAAACCGGTTCACCTCATTGGATGGTTATAGTCGTCCGTATTATTTTGAAGGGCTATGATGGCCTGGTTGTACGGCGTTGCACCCACGTTTCGTCGTGAGTTCGATCCCTGCCAGCCGAAAACTCCCTGTGTACAAAATGGTAGTTGTAGTTAATTTACGTCGCACTAGAGCGGCACAATGGGCTATTGGTGACGGTCTGGGAAACATCTCTAAGGATGATCCGAAGACATGCCATCACAATTTTGATCCTCTGCAGAGGGGATGGCACCTCCGCTTTGGTAGCCCGACGACCTGCACGCGAAGTCGAGCACTTTACGGTAGAACAGTTTAACGAGGACCAATGCCGCACACCCTCGGTCCCTACGCAGACTAATCCAAGTGGTCACCCACCGGCACACTGACCGCAGCCAGTGATGCTTGACTTCGGTGATCTGCTGGGAACCGTGTCTTAACGATCAGTCCACTGCGGGACTGTACAAAATGGTGACTGGTACAAGCTGAAACTGTTGGGGTTACAAGGTCCTCCAAGTTCCCAAAGCAAATCAATACATCTGCGGTACTGGATCAGAGATTGATCGTGCTCTGGTTCAGGTCAAAATTACGATCTGCGGATGAATGGTACGTGAATGTGTCTTCTCTGTAAAACGGGATATTTATTCAATATAATGTTATTAGAAAACATATATTAAGAAAAATAATGCCATTTCTTTTTCGTTGAAATTTTAGTTTAAGTAATAAAATCAGTAATTCGTAAATAATTTGAAATTTCGGTTGCCTTTATAAAATTATATAAAATGACAAAGAAAAAAGGAATACAAAATCAAAAAAAAAATTCTTTTTTCAATAACAATATATTGAAGATATTAAAAATTTGTCCATTTTTGGAAATCTCCATAAGTATTTCTCTTCGAGCTTTTCAATTCAAATTGAAATAACTAAATTCCAGAATAAAGAAATATATTTTTCTAATAACTAATATCTATACGTTTGTAATAGTTATTTTTATAATTGAATTTATTATATTCATTATCAGCATAAATACACACCAAAAGCAGACTCATAATCATTTTCATTTTTCTCATTTTATATTATTACATTATCGGTGTTGCTTGAGGATCCAATTCTGAGTTTGCGACTATCAATATTAAACTCCATAGCCTTGTAATTTTGAACCCAACCCGGAAGACTAGCCTTTTTATTATGAAAAATATCCGAGTTATCCTTCGTGGAGGATTTTTTGATAAAACTAACTCCCAATAGCGTTACATAGGGGGAAAAACTACGAAAACCTTCGAAGGCAAAGAGATTCTAACCCATGATCCATTTGTCATTGAATATGCGTGAACACTGAGGTTGCTACTAGCCAGGAGCAGAATTCGTATCAAACAACCACCACTGGGATTCGAACCTATGTCTCCTTATAGGGAGGCTAACTCTCGATGATTTTCTGATGTATTTTCCTTCACATAAAGTATTTTCAAAATAATTAGTAGTTTCATTTATTCATTTATTCATGGTTTGTATATTCATTGCTACTAATGAAGTTTCTTAAAAATAGGAATTCCACCAAAAGAAAATTGATCATCTAGGGTTCCAAAGCCGAAATAAATTGAGAACGGCTAGTCAAAAATAATAAAATCACAGCTTAATTCTTTAATATTTACGCTACAACATTTTTTATGTGCGGTGTGATTATATCTTTCAATGCCTCATTCGATAAGCTTGAAAGCTACGAAAATCAAACATTGCTTAAATATCGCAATTTAAAGTAAATATTAGCTTAATTAGTAATTGAGAAATTACATAAGTGTTAAGACCGTTGCTGGAAATATTGAAATGCCCTTGATAAATTTTTTTTTTTAAATGTTAAGACCGTTACTGGAAATATTTATTTGTAAACATTCAAAGAAATCCGAAAGTTGCTTCAATTGCTGCAGGCATGATAGTTAGAATTCCAGAATTTCTTATCTCACAAGTCACATTGATAAGCTAGTCCAGACTGTTATCGTTCCAATTTTATCAAAAACTCGAGTTTTTTTTTTTCTGAAAACTTTATTACTTGTAAGTACCATGTCCGGAGAAGAAATGAAGTATAAACTGCTAATTCATTCTGCGAAGCAAGTTGTGCAAGTGGTGAAAAATGGTGAACAATTGGTAATCGGAAAAAACTTGGATAAAGTTGCTGTATTGGATGGTGGTGATACCGGTATTAGCATTGTTGTTTCAAGGTAAAGATTGAAAGAACTTTTCTTTTTTTTTCAGTTTAGTATATATAAAGATAGGTACACAATCACTTCCAAAAAAAAAAAAAAAAGGATTTTATGATGAAACATAAAATTGATATCATTTGAATAGAAAAATATTCTTCAAAAATACTGCAACCTTAATATTTAGTATGAAATGAACTATATTTCTATGCATTGTTAAACCTAAATGTCATGTACGATATTTCTGTTCAGATTTTCTAACGGCGTAGTTCAGTCAACACATTGGGAACCAGTTTAAAAATGTTAAATTTGAAGAATTTATACCAATATCTTATGTTTATAAATTATCGTTTGACAAAGACAAATATCCTTCCGAAGTTCAGTTAATGATAGTAGTAGAAAGTGTAAACAATTATGAATAGTAGTCTATTTTTCCGGATTTATCCGTTTCTTTTATTTTTATATTCAAAGTCAAATTCAAATTGCTTGATTTAAAAAAATCGATTTAAAATGATTTTGAAAACCGTATTTCTTTGTAAAATACTTAGCGAATTTTGAGAGTTAATTTAAATGCTGGTGAATATTTGAAAATGCTTTTTTAATTTTCTAGTCTATTTTAATTTTAGAATTACTTGTGTTTAGATCTAATTTATAAACTTCTAAAAGTTAACAGTGTTAATTTGCGTAAACTGTTAACTTTTAGCAGTTTATGATTTCGATATGCAATATATTATGAGTGGAAATGTGAGAAATCTAGTGGATGGTCAACAAAGTGTTGGTTAAGATAGTTTTTGTGACGTATATGGTGTAATTGTCCATGTCAATTCAGCTTGTAACGTATGCCGGTATTCGATTTTGTGATTTGCGGATAACCACGTAATAATTGTTTTTTTTCTTGTTCCGCAGTGGACTGATCGTTAAGACACAGTTCCCAGCAGATCACCGAAGTCAAGCATCACTGGCTGCTGTCAGTGTGCGGGTGGGTGACCACTTGGATTAGTCTGTGTAGGGACCGAGGGTGTGCGGTATTGGTCCTCGTTAAACTGTTCTACCGTAAAGTGCTCGACTTCGCGTACAGGTCGTCGGGCTACCGAAGCAGGGGTGCCATCCCCTCTGCAGAGGATCAAAATTGTGATGGTATGTCTTCGAATCATCCTAAGGGAGGCTTCCCAGACCGTCGCCAATAGCCCATTGCGCAGCTCTAGTGTGACGTAAATAAAATACCTACCTACCTGTTTTTTTTTCTTTTCTTTTTACTGTTCAACCACAAAACAAATTTTGAATGCTCTTGAAAATGCTCCATCTCATAGAAGCAATTCAAACATAAAGCACCAGACTATATTCGGCTAAATCAAATAAAATAAACGAGACTTCCTGAGACATTTCCACCCAAATGGATTTTTTTTCTTTTTATCTTTTATAAACAAAGTTTTACCATTGCCAATCGTCTGCGATGCAGTTAGAAAATATCTGAGCTGACAGTTTCGGGGCAACAGCGAGCACGGTTAGAGCCGTCTAACGTAAAAACTGAGGTATTGAATACGACTAAGTGATCTGAAAGGAGCAGTCGGGAGTGTTTTCGGGGATTGGTAAGCAGTAGTGAGTTGGGGACTAGCCCTCTTAATTATAAATAAATTAGACTATAATAGTAAGAGTAAAAAACATTTAAGCTTTAACGAATTAAGAGCTTTGTGAAACAGATTATATGTGTGTTTTTCTTCTTAAAAAATTTACTACACCTTTCTTATATTTAAATCTTAAACCACTTATGAATAGCATGTTCAACAATCTAAAGATATTTCACGTAAATACACAACGTAGAGCTTCTTAACTGCTTCGATTTGGTTGTTTATGTTTGCCGCATAAGTAAAGTGATCTAAGTGATAAGTAAAGAAGTGAATTATTGAAGGGATAACTTCAATCACTTGAGTAACTTTAAATCTAATGATTTATTCTTCACTTGCAAGGACTCAGTCTAAATGTTTTATGAGCCTATCCTTAAATATGCTAATTAATTTATGAAGAAGATATTTTAAGTTGTGATCGCAATGCAAAACTTAGCCCGAATTTATTGCAGATATTATCTCTCGATACAATTTACGCACATCAATTCACCGTTCAGGGAAAATTGGACTTGATTGGTATAATATATTTCCTTGTAAATCATGTTCTCTATTTTCTCGACGGTAGTTGAAGATGCGTGAGCATCATTCAGTAGGAATGTCCCCTAAGTTCTCACTGAATGTGATTTTCCGTTGTCGTAGTGTGAATAAGCTCTATTGCCAATACTCTCGGCAGTAAAAGTCATTTCAAGATCTGAATTCAGACACTGATTTAAGCGCACAAAAGTAAAAGTTTAATACGCTCCGCTTCATTTAATATTTTTTATATTTACTAGTTTGTTTTTCTGAGCAGAGATATGAGAACTTAATTGTAGTGTGTGCTCTCAGGGAGGGTATTTAAAAAAAAAAAAAAAAAACTTCTAATTCTATAAGGAAACCTTAGCCATGCAAAGAGCTCATAAAATTGACACTAAAGATGTCATTTAGATAAGCAAATATATTCATTCCCTGGACAGAAGAGTGGTTAAAACATAGTGGTCTAATGGAAAGCAGACCTAGACTTAATGATGCTATGCATATGAAAAATCCCTTGTAAAAAAATCCAATAAATATAATATTATAACGTTTTCCCTAAGAAATTAAGCTTTAAATAATGTATTTGCGTGTTTTACTTTTTGATACAGTATGTAATAGAAATTTCATACAGTTAAGTGTAATTTAAAGAAATAATTTTTATGCTGGTGCGATTTCAAACATTATTTAAAGTAATTTTCAAAACTTTCATTGAAAATTGGATTAAATGAACTCTCTCTTGTTTGGATTTCAACAAAGATGATATTCATCGAATATGATAAATATTTTGCTGAATGATCTAATTTAAAGAGACTATTTTATTCATACTTCATCAACATCTCATTCATACAGTGTAAATATTAAAAATTTCACATAGAAAGCTGCTTAACGAGCTACTTTCTTGTGCATTTTGAAGGATAACATCATTCATGTAGTCTATGTCAAAGAATATATGGAAAGGCTGAAATATTACTGAAAGACTTTGTTTATGCATAATGTGTGACAAATCTTTTACGGCCAAGAGTAATTTAAAAAGCCAATATCTTCCTCATACTGGTGAAAAACCTTATTCATGCGCTGTTTGTAATAAAACATTCACTCAGAAAAGAAACTTACTTAAACACGCTCTTGTGCATTCAGGAGAAAAGCCATATTCATGCAGTGTGTGTGATAAAGCATTTTCTTGGCAATCTCAATTAAAGGAACATTTTTTAGTTCATACTGGAGAAAAGCCATATTCATGCAGCATCTGTGATAGAACATTCACTAATAAAGGAAATTTAAATAAACATTGTCTTGTTCATACGGGAGAAAAACCTTACTCGTGCAGTTTGTGTGATAGAACATTTTCTCAGAAATACCATTTAGAAGTACATTATCTTGTTCATTTTAAAGAGAAGCCATATTCATGCCGTGTTTGTGATAAAACATTCGCAAGGAAACCTGATTTAAATCAACATTATATTGTTCATACAGGTGAGAAGCCTTATTCGTGCAGTGTGTGTGATAAAACATTCTCTAAGAAAGGAAATTTAAATATACATAGTCTTATACATACTGGCAAAAAACCTTATTCATGTAATGTGTGTAATAAATCTTACACGAGGAAAGCTAGTTTAGATAAACATCTTGCTGTTCACACTCTTGCAAAGCCTCTTTGAGTGAGTGTGATAAATTTTATGAACATAAATACAGTTTAAAAAATATATTAGATTGCCATTCCTGTAGACTAGACTTAACCAAACTGGGTTCTTTTGTTTAAGAAAATTATTTTACGCAATTTATGTTTATACTGAAGATTATTTATGTATTATGAAGAAAATTATTTATGTTTATACCGAAGAAAAATCTTGTTTACGAGATTAAAGAAATAAGCAATCTTTTGTTCATACTGAATACATATTTTTTTGTAAAAAGGATCTAATTTGAAGAGACATTATTTAAGTCATATTTCAGAGTGACCTTATTCATACATTAATAATACAAAGTAAAAAGCCATTTTAAGAAATTCTTTCTCATGTATTTTGATAAGCAACCTTATTCACTCAGTCTATGTAAAAAACTTACGCAAGGAAATTCTGAGACACCAAAGAGAGGCCTTATACATGCATTATATGTGAAAAATCTGAAACAGATGAGATCAAGAGTAAATTAAAGAACTATATTTATCATAATGCAGAAAAATCATATTCATGTAACATATGTGATAAAGCATTCTCTCACAACGGAAATTTAAATACATACCATCGTGTTCCTGCAGAATAAAAACCTTTTTCATGCAGTGTGTGTTCAAACGTTGGCTAGAAATCATGATTTAAATATACACCGTGCTGATCATACAGGAGAGAAACCTTACACATGCAATGTGTGTGGTAAAACTTTCTCTCAAAGAGAAATTTTAAAGAAACACTATTTTGTTCATACTGGAGAAAAACCTTATTCATGCAGTGTGTGATAAATCTTACAAAAACAAAGTTGGTTTAAATAAACACTCTGTTGTTCATTTTCTCGTGAAGCATCTGTGCATCTTCCAACAAAAAAGTTCAACACGCAGATGTGCGATAAATGTTAGGAACATAATACAGTATAGAGGAATCTTAAATTGCTAATTCAGAAGACTAGACTTATGCATGCATTTTTTGTAAAACCATTTTCTTTTAAAACTATTGTTCATATTAGAGTAAGAATGATAAAAACATTCACAAAGAAAGCAAATTAATATAAATGCTTTTTTGTACATAGTAGAGAATTTTTTTTCATTCTCTGCATGTTTAAACATTTATTTTGCTAAGAAATTTGAATAGGGGAGAAAAACTTTGCTTATGCTCTGTGTGTAATAAAACATTCTCTTAGAAAATTTGTTTGAAATCTTTTTCTTATGAGAGAGAAGTCTTTTTTATTCAGTAAGTGTTATAAAACTTATAAACAAAGCTAAGTAAACATTATTTATGCAATTTGTGTAATAAAATATTCTGGAAGAATCAAAGTTTGAAATAACATTATCTTTTTCAAACATGTGAATAGTCTTATTCTCACAGTCCTTTTGATCTTGAGAAACACTAGATTAAATTAATTATTCACGTTCATACTTTTTTTAATTATCTTGTTATCAAAATCTTTTTTGTTGAATTATTTTAGAATATTCATTTTTTGTCCACACTTCAGGGAGGTCTTATTCATGCAGTGATTGTGAAAGAAAATAATAACTAGACGCAAAGAAAAGTTGTTTAAAGAAGCATTATCTTTAATATTTCGAATTGCAGAATTATTCATACAGTTTGTATGTAACAGAATGATGCGCACGCAAAAGGTAATATAAATAAATATTATTTTGTTCATACTGATGAGAAGCCTTATTCATGCATTATGTGGGGAAATTCTAATACAGATGACTGTAATTTAAAGAAGCACAATGAATTTAATTTTGGAGAAAAACGTTATTCCTGTAGTATATGCGATAAAAAGTTCAGTGAAAAAAGTCATTTAAATAGGCATGTACTTGTCCATAATGGAGAAAAACCTTATTCATGCAATCTGTGCCATAAAACTTATTTACGGGAATCTAGTTTAAAAGAACATTATATTGTTCATACTGGTGAAAAACCTTATTCATGCAATCTGTGTCATAAAACATTCGCAAGGAAAATTCATCTACAAGAACATAATCTTGTTCATACTGGAGAAAAACTTTTTTCATGCAGCTTGTGTAATAAAACTTTCTCTAAGAAAGGAAATTTAAATAAACACTATCTTGTTCATACTGGAGAGAAACCTTATTCATGCAATGTATGTAATAAAACATTCAGTCAGAAAAGTAGTTTAAATCAACACTATCTTGTTCATACTGGTGAAAAGCCATATTCATGTAGTGTGTGCTCTAAAACTTTCACTCAGAAAAAAAATTTAATTAAACACTCTCTTGTTCATACTAAAGAAGAACCATATTCATGCAGTGTATGTGATAAAACATTTTCTTCCAAATCCAAATTAAAAGAACATTTTCCTGTTCATACAGGAGAGAAGCTATATTCATGCAGCGTGTGTAATAAAACATTTACTGATAAAAGAAATTTGAATAAACACTGTCTTGTTCATACAAAAGAAAACTCATATTCATGCAGTATGTGTGATAGAACATTTTCTCATAAATACAATTTAAAAGGGCATTATCTTGTTCATTTTAAAGATAAGCCATATTCATGCAGTGTGTGCAATCAAACATTTGCAAGGAAGCCTGATTTAAATCAACATTATATTGTCCATACTGGTGAGAAACCTTATTCATGCAGTATATGCAATAAAACTTTCTCTAAGAAAGGAAATCTAAGTATGCACAATTTTGTTCATACTGGAGAAAAACCTTATTCATGCAGTGTATGTAATAAATCTTACAGGAGGAAAGCTACTTTAGTGAAGCACTCTGTTGTTCATACACACTAGAAACCTCATTTAATGTGTGTAATAAATCTTAAGAACATCTATACAATATAAAGGAACATTAAGTTGATAATCCTGAAGATTAGATTTATACCTGCAGTGTGCATAAAGCCCTTCTTTTAAAAAAAATATCCATTTTCTTAAACATACTTAATATATTACTACTTATGTTGTGTATGTGATCAAACAGTCTTAGTAAAAGAAGTTTAAATTAAGACTATTTTGGAGTGGAGAGAAACTTTTCTTTTATATGCTGTGTTATTAAACATTTACTTAGAAAGGAAATTCTAATAAACACTGTAACAAAAACACCTGTTCATACAAGAAAAGAACTATATTCATGTAGAGTGTAATAAAACATTCAAAAGAAGGGAAATTTAAATAGTTGAGAAAATTCTTTTAGAAAACTCGTCAAAAATGAAATCTTTTTCCTTCAAGATAGGAATCTAACATTCTCTTTTCCACACTTGTGTAAAGTCTTTCTTTTATTCTTGTGTTGTTTTTGATAAAACAGGAATATTAGATATTGTTTATAAATGAAAGAAACCTTTTATATCCATTGTTATAAATCTTTTTCAGTAAGATCTAAAGCACACTTTTTGTCTACACTTAAAAAGAGAGGCCTTATTCATATAATGCCTCTGAAAAGATGGAACAGTGAAAAGTTGTTTAAAGAAGTACATTTTGAAAAGCAGCTTTGTTCATAGAATGTAATAAAATAATGCACACGTGAAAGTAATTTAAATTACCATCTTGTCCATGCCTTACCATGCATTATGTGTGAGAATTCTTATACAAGTGAGTGTAATTTAAAGAAGAAGCACAATGTATTTCAGACTGAAGAAAAACTTTATTCATGCTGTTTATGTGATAAAAAGTTCAGAGGAAAAGGAGGTTTTAATAGACACTCTCTTGTTCATTCTGAAGAAAAACATTATTCATGCAGTCTGTGTCATAAAATATTCTTACTGAAATTTATTTTTAAAGAACATTATCTTGTTCATAGAAATAAAAAACCTTATTCTTGCAGTATGTGTGATAAAACATTCTGATTAATTCAACAGTTACATGCTCATAGTGAAGAAAAACCTTATTCTTGCAATGTCTGAGAAAAGTCTTTCATACAAAAATAGGATTTTAATAAACACTATCTTATTCATAGGGGAGAAAAACCTTATTCATGCAGTTTGTGTGATAAATCTTACACCACCAAATCTAATTTAAAGATACATTTTCTTGTTCATTTGGGAGCAAATCCATATTCATGCAATATGTGTGATCAAACTTTCTCTAGGAAACATGACATTACATTGTTCATACTGGGGCAAAACCTGATACATGTATTTTGTGTAATAAAACTTTTTCTTAGTAATGAAATTTAAATAGACACTTTCTTGTTCATACTTGTGAAAAACCTTATTCATGTCGTTTATGCTATAAATCTCACAGAAGGAAAGCTAATTTAAATTAACACTGTTGTTCATACTGGTTAGAAGCCCAGTTAAACGTGATAAATCTTAATAGTGTAATACAGTTTAATTAAAGGGATGATAAATTTCTAATTTTAACGACTAGACTTTCACTTGTAGGAAAACTTCAAGAAAAACTCCATTAAGAGAACATTATATTTTTTTTTATATCGGAGAAAAATCTTTAACTCTTGCAATGTGAGTTAATAAATCTTACTCTTTTTTTTATGTAGGCATTTTTTCTGGTCATTCTGGAGAGAAGTCTGGTGAAGTGTGTGTGATAAATCTTATGCTCACAAATTCAGTTGAAATCTTAATTGAGTTAATGAACAAAACTCAACCTGCATTCTCACAGAAAACTTATTTAAGCATTCTTTATTTCAGATCAGAATTTTTTTTTTTTTATTCAGTATGTATGTGATAAAATATTTTACAAAAGAACTCATGTAATTAAAATTCCTGTTCTTATTGAAAAGCAGAAATGGCAAGCTTTTTCCATGGTGAAAAAGTGATGTAAAAAATTGTCCCAATAGAAATGGGTTTAATTCAATACAAATGAGAAACAAAATAGAAGAAACTCTTTTTCATAGTAAATATTGAATATTAAAACAGTTTTTAATTGCTATCTAGTTTAAATAATAATATTAATAAAATTATTAATAATAATATTAATCAAATAATAATTAAATAATAATAATCAAATAATTAAATAATAATATTAATCAAATTATTTAATATATGCGAAAACTGAAATCCAATGATGGGGAAGAAATAAATTTAATGTCATTTTACAATATTTTATGCAAATGAATATAGTAAAACTTATTTTTATAATTATATAAAGAACTGTTAGAAAAACATAACCAAATTTTATTAATATTACTAAATTTATAAGTATTAAAAAATACATGTTAATTTCACAATTACAAATAGCATAATAAGTTTTTAATCAAATACTGTTTAGTATGAATTCTTAAATGGACTCTTAAATAATATATAGATTTTTAGAATTTCTATAAAAAGCCTTTTTTTTTTTAAAAAAAAAGTAAAAAACTTTAACTTTTTTTGTCTAAATTTAATTTATTTAAATTTAGACTATTCTTGTAATACTTCTAAACATTAGTACAGGTCTTTTTAAGTTTCTTCTATTTCATCCAGTGTCATTTGTATAAGTATTGTAATAAGTCATAATCTTGGACAAAATAGGTTTCTTTTTATCTAATTTTTGTAATAATTCTTATACAAATAAGTATAATCTAAATAAATTTTTGTGTGATTCTTAAAAAAATAGGAAAATTTGTTGCTTAAAAAATTCTTGAAGAATAAAATTAATAAAAAAAATTATATGCTCATATAAAGGTTAATTTCTGAAAAATCAGAAAATTCATTGTTGCGGAGCCTTTTATCACAAGTAAAAGGAAAAACATAGAACGCTTCCCTTTTAAGAAGCGTGAAACTGATTTTTGAAGTTGATAGAAATATATTACAAAAGTAATATGCCTTAATGTTTCCTTTTACGTGTGAAAAATAGAATTATTTTGACCTTTTTTGTCCGTTTGAGCTTTTCAGTTCACTTGAACTTTTATTTTAATTGTTTTATATCTCTTAGTTTTGTCGAAAAATGTTCCAAACGTTAATTAGCAACAAATGGGGCTCGATTTTGCCTGAAACATTTAGTCCCATTCTCACAAAGATATGTATAGCATTTAAAAACTTAATTATTATTTCATTTAATTCTCTATAAATAAAAAGCATTAATATTATCAGCAATCTTTTTATGTTTCAACCTCAATTAAGATAAATTTTCAGATTTTCCCACTACATCTGCTTAATGCTAGCACAAAATTCAGAAACTGTTACATAGTTGCCAAATATTTTGATTTTAATGAAATTCTGTATTACTTCCTTATACTCTCTTTTCTACCCTACATATTGGAATGCTAAAAAAAAAACTAAATTCAGTGGCGCGACAGCCCATAGAGGGCCAAGGCCTACTGTGCCCATCTCAGTTTTCTTGACCTTTGGGCTCTGGGGTGCAGAAGCAGATGTTCCGGTTAGGTGGTCAGCCGAACGCGAAACCCCCAGTGTCTAGTTCCCAAGCATGCTTGGTACTCATTTATCGACCCACTGAAGGGATGAAAGGCTGAGTCAACCTTGCCCGGCATGAGGATTGAACCAGGGACCTGTGGCACGACAGTGCGAAACGCTACCGCTCAGACACTGGGCATCCATATTGGAATGCATAAGGCTTAAAAAAGGAGCTTGGCAATAGAAAACATTTAATAGCCAATACGTGGAATCCTTAACTTTCTTTCATAAGTAATATCCTTACATCCACATATCAATTACATTTTTTATTTCATGATCATCAGACTTGTTTGGTGGGACTTAACCCCTGCCGTCACACTCTCCTACACCATTTTCAAAATGTATTTATTTATTGTTTAAATATTAATTTTTGTAAATAATTAGTCATTGGATCTCCTAATTAACAAAAGTAAAATATATTTTCTTACTGTTTATAAAATTAGATTTTTCATTAAAGCAATTAATGATTTCTAATATAATTGGTTGCCTTCTACACTCTGGAGTAGAATGATGGACAGTTGGAAATAGATCATCGACATCTTCAACAAAATTCTTTGATAGGAATGTACAAAAGCAAAAAATCACAGTGTTTGGGGCAAATTGACAACATAAAGCTGAAATAGTAAAAATACATTGTGTATTTAGATTCTATTTGTGAGTTACATTTTGTAAATAGAAATGGCGTCTTTAGGTTATGCGTTTTTCCCGCTTTCCACATTCTGTTACCATTGTACTTGTAAATCTTGCTCTTTTCTCTGCATAAATATCTCCCCACTTCTTGCTGGATTAACCGTGGTAACAGAGAGAGGGAAAGTGGGAAATTGCATAACCTTGAAATACCTATTTTATTTGCAATGAGTATAATATGGATGAGCTGTGATCGTTTTGTGTCTAAGGCACTAAGCTGTCATTATGAAGGACTGGGGTTTAGTCCCCAGTGGCGGCTTGCCTGGGATGTAAAGACGGCTAATACTCACTGCCGACCACATTGCCATAGTCGTGAAATTTGTACTCTTTATTGTATAGCATATTTTCATACCCGAGGAATTTCTATGCATTTGGGAATACGCCAGGTCTGCTTGGATTTGACCAGAATAGACATGAAATGAAAGAAAAGAAGGTGGGTTATTTACTTTCCTATGTATTGTGCCTTAAAACTTGAATTACACATCTCAGAGTATCATCCCTTGAAATGGAATTGTTCTAGTGTGGTAGATCAAGAAATTAAAGCAAGATAAGCTTGTTATTAGGACAAAATAATAGATATTTGAAAGAATATTAAAGTTATTTTCTCCAAAAGTCAACTTTATTATTCACTAATGTATTTCCTAAATTAAATACTAATGCAATTGCAGATTAATGTGTTAATCACATTCAGAAATTAAAAATTTATAGTTTTTTTTAAAAAATTTTCTTTTTTAGTTTATACACACATTTATTTAAAACTCAATTTTATTGCAAATATAGAAACTATTGATTTATAGAATATTTTCAAAACAAAATGGTTACAATCTAACTCTTTGAAAAAGGCTATGAACAAAATCAATATACAGAGCACTGTTGAAAAGCGATCATTTCTCATATTTCTTTATGGATCACTTATGAAGTTCAGGCGATCATTGGGATTCATTGATTAAAAATTTTTTTTAAATTTATATTGGTGCAGGAATTAATGTAATGATGTGAGTAGGAGAGGTGCATATTCATGCAAAACTGATAGGGTCATAACTCTCATCAATTCATGAAAATTCTCATTATTAAATTTTTATTTAAATAATTTTTATATCTAAACTAATACAAGTGTCTCCATTATTTCACTGTTAGTACTAATTTGTATAATCTCTGTTTTTGGAGGACAAAAATAAAATGAAAAACAAATTGTCTGTTGTCAAGGCCGGATTAACCTATAGGCACACTAGGCACGTGCCTAGGGCCTACGAAATTCAGGGGCCTACGAAAAACTTGGGAGAAAAAAATTTGTTGACAAAAATAATTTAGCTTTAAAAACAACAAGTGTATTTTACACAAAATTATGAAGATACATATAAAAATATAATATTTTTCGGTAATAAATTATTTTGCAGAATCTTATGATCTAATATATTACTTTTTCGCGATTTTTGGATTCAACGAAATCTTGTATTAGCTGTCGAATTCCAAGACTACGCAAAATGTCGTATTCAATAGACATAAGTGCGAGCGATGCTAAACGATCATTGTTGAACGCAAATAATTTTTTATCAATTTTAATCTGGAGAAAGATCTTTCTCCTTCTGCATTTGATCCAAGAATCGACAAATATATTCTTAATGCAATGTGAACGTTAGGAAAAGTATTCACGAGTTTATCTTTAAAATTGTTATCGATCGAACTAATCATAATGGTATTATCGATATCTACTGCAATATCGGCAGTATGTCGGTATTGCAGATAAAGTTCGATAAACAAATTTGTAAATTAAAATCCATATTAATAAAAATGTAAAAAAATATGCAAGAAAATTTTAGCATATATTTTGAAAAGAGGGGAGGAGTGGGGGAAGGAGGGGAGGACCCAAAAACGGCTATGCCTAGGGCCCACGAAAGGTATAATCCGGCTCTGTGCCTAGGGCCTACGAAAGGTATAATCCGGCTCTGTCTGTTGTGGAAAGGAGTAAAAATAAAACAGAACTTAGTTAAAGTTAAGTCCAAAATTGACTAAAATATTTTGCTAGTCTTTCACATTTTCACTAGACCATTCACTAGTCCCTTTTAGATATTTAAAAAAAATGCTTAATTTTTTTAAAATTTTTGTATTAATTTTTTTTTAAAAATCAACTTGGCAAATTAAGGTTTATAAGGCAAATAAATATTAAGGTTTCCGTAAACTTATTAAAGAAGGCAAACAAAGCACATAAATCAGAATTTAATTAGGTTTTAGTTATTTGGTCAAATGTAAATGTTACATATTACTGTAAGTAGATAATGTTAAAAATTTGTAAAAAAATATTCAAGTCAAATAAAATAAAAAAGGAAAAAATTTGATGAAGTATGCTATTTTGTAACTAAATCTTTCAAGAGATTACTGAAACCAAGGCGGTTTGAGTCAGATTCTAGTGTTCCTGGACTAAAGAACCACTTTTAATTTCAAGCCTTAGCAAATGATAGCTTTGATTAATTATATTTTTTGTAGTTATGTTAAGTTGAGGAAAGCTTTTACCCATATTAAAAATTCCTAATAATAGAAGAACCCTATATTGATTAATAATATAAAAAAGTTCCAAAACTTTAATTTTACTATGCTGTAAAAGCAAATAAATTCATCCTAGTACACGTGAGAAACTTTTTAGTTGAGAATAATTTTTAACGCTAATCGAGTTCAGATTATATTATTTCTTTATGTAGCGTAAAATTTTTTTAAGCCCGGTTAGAAATTTTTTCTTTTCATATTTACAGTGATGGAATCATCAGCGACATTGGTAACAAGAATGACATTGAAGAGAAATATAAAGCATCTACATTTGAAAATATTATTGATGCAACTGGTAAATGTGTTTTGCCTGGTAAGTAGTCATTTTTCTTCTTATAATAAAACATCCAAAGTAAAAAAATAGAGTTAAAAATGGTCTTACTGTTCTGTTCTCCCCACTCTACCAAGAATCTCTCTCCAAAGTTTTACTCCTCACTAATGAGATGACTTTTGATTTATGTCTCCTGCAAATAACTGATTATTTTTAATTGCGATTGTATTGTAATGCAATATTTCATTAAAATACCACAAAAAATGGAAAGTTTGTATGTGGGAAGCCTTATCGTTCTGTTTGCTTTGCAGTATTTAAATAGGATATAGAATTACTCAAATCTCGAAGTAGCATTCGGCCTTAAGATGCTCTTCGTTTTGCATACAGGACAGTTATTTAGTTAGCTGCCAGGATCAAATTTACGATCCCTAGCTCTCTGCTAATGTAAACCCTTAGTTCTTGTTATATTTAGGAAAAATTAGGAACTTTTATAAGCTCAAACTTCCCTCAAAACTCCCATTTCCTATAGAAGGAAATTTCATGTACAGTTCATAAAAAAGCAAATGAACTAATGAATTTCACATAAAATAAAATACAATCTTATCGGTTTGGGGATTTGACTTGAAAAATTTTATTTAATTTATTTAGTCAGCATTTTAGGTTACAAATTTCTGATTTTATCATTTAAAATCCACAGTTTAAAACCACAATAGGTTTTAGTAGTTTCTTCTGTCTGCTTAAAGTACCAGAAATATCAATTAGTTTTACACTATAAGTCACCTAATTAACTCAATACTTGACCAGAAGAAGTTTCCATTTTTATATAGAGTATACCATTGTAACATCCCTAATGTATGCTTTTTAAAAAGTAAAGTTTTCCTGCAACATACCTTTGTGGGCCAGGGAAGGGAGAGTCATAGAGGTTAAAGTTCCACAATTTCGTGAACAACAGCATGACTGTTTTAATGTGGTCTTTATCCATTTATCTGAAGCTGAGTGGGTTCAAGCTGCCTCTGGGGATCAAACTCCTGTTCTTCACAATGATTGTTCAGTGCCTTAACCACTGAGCCATTGCGGCTTTATATTTTTTGAATCCTATTAAAAAAATACACATTACAGTTTGTGAATTATTATTTAAACAAGGCTGAAACAAAAGCGCTAAAAGAAGGACAGTTTATAAAACATCAAAATCAATTTGATTGCCAGAAGAAGTAGGTCGCGTTTCTAAAAATAACTGTTCAATTTTTCTGTCCTTTCTCTGGCAATCAAAAAAGCTTTGGTGTTTTCAGTCCCGCTTTTTTTAGAAGTGATTTGTTCTGATTTTTTTTAAGTCGATTTGTAAGTAATGATCCTTATGAGCACAAATGAGGAACATAAGAAGTCACAAATTAATATTCAAGGCGTGGAAAGCATGGGTGCAAGTCTTCCGTCCCCAGGACGGATTCCCGTCTTTCAAAAATGTCGGCGGACGGAAACAAGACTGACTCGCAGACGGAAATCGGAATTTTTTTTTTCTGTCCATAAAAATATTTTTTAGGTCTACGTTATTGGTCTATTTTCTTATGTCCTGTTGTTATTTTATCAAAAGACAGATGAATAAATATTTTTTGTACAGTATTTAATCTTGATGTATTATGGTAAAGCTTTCTTAGATAGTTTGCATACGTCGAGGGGGTATTGTGTATGTTATGTATTTCAGTCAAAAAATTTTCAGTCTTGTGGCCTTTTTTCCAACTTGCACCCATGGTGGAAAGCAAACAATAAAATGATATAGAAATTTGTCGAATCGCTTGAGAGAAAATGGAATAAAGAAACACTGAAACCAGTTTGATTGCCTGAGGAAACTCGAAGGTGTTTCTAATCTGAAGGTAATCTTACAACTTTTCTTTGCTACTCATTAAACAAGTTTCAATTCTAACTCTGTCAGCATACATACATTAAGGAGGGTGGGGGGCATAACAAAGTAGTTGGCACAAAATAACTAATTATTATCCCATAATTTTGGAATTCAGATCCCCAAATTGCCACAAATATGTATGTTCCACAAATATGTGTTATTGCCACAAATATGTGAACCCGGAAATGCTGCTCATTGATAGTGGAAAAATAAATAATTGTATCAAATTTCATTAAATGCTGTTAATAATTTATCGAAATTTCAGATGTAATGCTTCTGTTTACGGTCTGTATTCGTTACTTAATAGCGCTTTTCATTACTTTTAGACAAAACTGAAATTTTAGCTAGCAATTTCTTTCTTTTTTTTTTGACAAATCTTTTTAATTATTTGGTGAATCATTCAACTTAAACATCAATGTGATTCTTGAGTTTGCATTTTTATTCTGCAAATGCATTTCATTTTTTTCTTCTATTTGCAGGTTTGGTGGATGCCCATACTCATCCCGTATGGGCTGGAGATAGGGTGAAGGAATTTTCTATGAAAGTAAGTATTTGACAGTTTCTGTAGACTTGATTTAAAAAGCTGAGGGTTCCATTGATTGTAACCTCAAACCAAATATACATCTTGTTTATGTAATGCTTTTGAATGATTTATGCCAGGGGTTTCCAACTTACATGAGGCCGGGGGCCGCAATTAAAAACAACAATCTAATGGCGGGCAGCAACTTTATCAAAATTTTATATAGGACTCTTTTTTGTTTGAAGGAACATTAAATATTACTGTCAGATTTTTGTCAAGTTGCACAAAACAAAGGTATTGAATTACAAGTTAAAATAAGAAGTAAATTTTTAAAAATATTTAATTGCATATTAAACAATTCTGGCTACAATAACCTTAATGTGCACCTATGTATTAAACAATTAATGTGCAACAGATATCAAGTTGTTAAGATATAAAACTTAAAAGTATTTAAAACCCATATAGATTTTTTACGAAAATTGTTCGCAAAAAAATGACAACTAATATATTTTAGTTCGCGGGTCACAAATAAAGGCTTCTCGCACCGGTTGCGCCCCGCGGGCTGCCTGTTGGTAACCACTGATTTATACCATGACAGAATTATGATGTATTAAGTAAATGTTACAGGTAGGAGAAAACATCCATCATGGCAGCGGCAGATTATCATAGCAGATTAATTTTGCTCCTTGAAATGACAATCCTCTTTCATAAGTTAAAATTAAACATAAGTTTTTTTTTGTGTATAATTTTTATGTATCTAGTTGTTGCAAATTTTGTTATATATATATGTGATAAATCGTGTTGCAGACAAATTTGAATTTACGCAGATACGGTTGCAGATTGACTCTGTAAATTCTGCTACCAGACTTATGTTAGTTTACAGGGACTAAGAAAATTCTTAGGAGCTAGTTTCTAGAAATATTATGACTTTATCACATTTACTGAAAAATAAAAAACTAGCTTTACATACTTGATCATTTTTTATTAATATTGTGCCTTCTTGCAGTAAAAGAGTTAAATATTAAAAATATGAAACTAATATTCATATAATAATAATAATTAATATTCATATAATTTAATAAAACAAACCATGAAATAAACACTAATATTGTTTCCTATAATACAAACATCAAATTGGATATATACATTAAGCATTTGAGTTTTAGCGTCAAAATATTATCTATCAATTAATATGATTTTTAAGCAAAGAAGAAGCGATCAATTTTGACTTTTTTTCCCTAATGCATTCTTATAATAATTTTAATACAAGTTGCAGAATAATATGTTGAAAAAGTTAGTCGCGAAGGAAATTTTTCTAGTCTCTTGGGATTTGTCAGTCCCTGTTTATTTCAGTTTTTATTACCACATAATGCATAATCTTAATTTTTTTTTTTTTTTTTGTATTTTATAACCAGCGGAGAATAGCTGACCCGATTCTGAGTTTATAACTATCAATGTTCAACTATGCAGCTCTGTAATTTTGAACCCAACCCAGAAGACAAAGAAACTTCTGCATCATGTCCTACATGGAGGAATTTGATGAAACTAACCTGAATTTGCATTACATGGTGAGAAAAATCGCGAAAAATTGCTACAGTTAGACCGGCAGCTAGGGGATTCTAACACATGATTCGTTTACCACTGAGGATATTTTATGTCAGCATTGTGGTGGTTGCGAGCCGGGTACCAACCAGCCATTGCAGATCTGTAATCTTTAATAGAAAATTCTTCAGAAAAAATATAACATTATGCTGAAAATTAAGGAGTCCCTGGACATTTGGAAATTTTAGACAATAAGTTAAACATGAGATATAGCATTCCCATGTAGTGTAAAAATCAGAATAATTTTTTTTTAACTTTTCTAAGAAAAAAATGTAATTAAATCTAGTAGAATAATAGAATAGTTATTATCAAAACAGGTCTAAAACTAATCAGTTCCTCCTTCCATTTATACTAAAACTAATAACTTCCTTTGAAAACATGTGCAAGGCGTTCGATCTCAGCCGGCCAAAGACTCCCCATTAGTAAATGGTGACTGGTGCATGTTAAATCTGTCAGATCACAAAGTCCTCCATGTTCCCAAGCAAATGAAACCTCTGGGGGTACTGAATAGAATTGGAGATGGATCGTTAAGGTCAAAATTACGATCTGTGGGTGAATGAATGGATGTATGACTGGGTCCACCCTATAAACGGGCTGCGAAGTGTGTGTGACTGAAATCGTGTTCTTGGCTATAAATGGTGCCACTGAAAAGCAAGAAACTTACCCTCTGCTTTAAATTCACTTCGTTTCACGAAGCAGGTTTGTTGGTATTGGCAATAGAAACAACGACAACAGATGTGCAAGGCACATCAAGATCCTTTTGTCATAAAATCAGAATTCATGTGTTATACACTTCAGCAAGCAACTATTACTGAAACAGAAAAGATTGTTCCAATTTCTATAAAGCATTAAATCACCTCACAGTTAGTTACAGTTCACTATTTTGGTAAATGAGCCAGTGAATTTTCCAACCAAATCTAATGGTTAAGCTCAGGTAGTGTTTTCATAAAAATAATAATTTACAGATATAATATTGGTAACCTAATGAAACATTATCTTTGTTAGCTCGCTGGTTTCTCATACATGGATATCCACAAAATTGGTGGAGGCATATACTATACTGTTGATCAAACAAAGAAAACAGACGAGTCAATTTTGCTGCACTTGTTGAAAGTTCGTCTTGAAGAAATGTTAAAATGTGGCACAACATTGGTGGAAGCAAAGTCTGGTTATGGTCTGGATCTAGATACAGAGTTGAAAATGCTCCGAGTTATAGAGCAAGCAAAGAAAGAGACTAGCATGGAAATTTCTTCAACTTACTGTGGTGCCCATGCAGTCCCAAAGTAAGATTCCTTAAATCAATGTTCGTAATAATTTTTTTAAATGAAATTTTTTATATCAGTGTAAAACTCCATTTTGGGAAGATTTTGTTGTATGAAAGTGACACAGTGTGCAAAACGAAAAACAAAACACCTGGTTAACTTTATAACTATTGATCAGATTTTCATGTAACAACAGGGTTTTTAGTTGTCCTGATAAAAAATATTTTGTCCTTATTTTTTTTTCCAATCAACAATACAGTAATCATAACATATAATTATTAAATTTACAAAATATACAAAAACTTTTATACAAAAATGGTAAGTGGCATATTCATTTCAAGAGTTTTGAAACTCTACATTAAAATTATTTGATAAAGAAAATCTTGAACTCAATTAAATTTTATTTAAAAATTGGTTTTAAAGAATATTAACTTTCTTTTAAATACAACAGTACTATGAAATTTTTCATGCATTGATTTGATTTGAAACTCTTTTGAGTTGTTCAGTATTGATATGATTATACTGGAAACTGTTAAAACTTTCTGTTTTAGACAAAGTAATTCTGAAATTAAAACTACTGTATTTTATTATTCTTTTGCTAAAAAACTTGCTTTTAAGGTGAGTAAATTATACTATCTTTTTTACTTTGCCGTTGATATATGCATATTGTTTTAAAATATGTCCTGATTTTTTTCTCTAACCTACTACAAAGCCTGCATAGAATCTTCGTTAATTGAGGGGTAGACTTTGAATATGCTAATTAATTAGTGCAGACAGTATTTTAGGTTATAAAATGACAAAAACTACTTTTTCTAAATAAACATACCTTTCTTTCCCGATGAATTTGGATTTCTTGTCCTCAAAATACTATGTATTATCATAAATTTTTTAAACATTTAATTAAATGAATGAATAAAAAAAAATTTGCCACATGAATTGCTATTTTATTTGTTGAAGATTGAAAAATTTTAGTATTGTATTTTCTTAAACAAAGTTTTTAAAATTTATTTCAATTCTTATGTTATAATATAAAATTCCTTTAACTCTGATCGTATATAAAAGAAGAAGAAGCATACAATTTTAAATATCTAATATTTTGAAGCAATATTAATATTTTTAATACATTCTTAGGATTAGGTGAACATTTTAATGTATAGACGGAGATTTGAAACACCAATTCTACAGCTTTGTTTAAAACTTCATAATTTAAAATGAAACAGAAATCTGTAAATCTTAGTTATTTAGTTCAATAATAAAAAAAACTGAAATTACTATGATTTGTGGTTGAAATAATTATTGGATAAATAAATTTTATAATTGCAAGTGCAAAAATTATTTGATTCATTTACACATGGTCTGCATTAATTAAGTCAGCACATTCAAGGTATACTACCTAACTATAAAATATTGCATACTAGTAAGTGAAAATCAATCATTAGTTTAAATATTATTCAGGTATTCTATCTTGCTGTAGACTACTCCTGTGGTTGGTCTAAAAATCACATTAGCAATATTATAGTCTTTTTCATTATTTAAATGAATAACTTAATAATTATTTTAAATTTTTTATATAAAATTTATGTAATCTAAACAAAGTTTTGTTCTTTGTGATGATCTCTCAATTCAGCTTTTTAAATTTTGAAGAAACAAGTTTAAAAATGAAAAGATAATTTGAAGCACTTACAAGCTATGAACATATGCTCTTTTCAGTACACGCGTTAAATTTTGTGTAATGTGAATGTAGATTACTCTATTATAAAAATACTTATAACATTAGGCATTTGACTTCGGACGAAGCAACCAAAGCTATCATAGAAGACCAATTACCAGCCTTGAAGAAGCTTATGGAGTCGAAAGAACTGAAGATCGACAATATTGATGTCTTTTGTGAGAAAGGTGTATACGATGTTAACCAAAGTCGGCAAATTCTAACGGCTGGAAAAGAATTGGGTCTGCAGATAAATTTTCATGGAGATGAATTGAATCCTATAGGAGCAGCAGAGGTAGAATAAATGCTGTGTTAATTAAAGTTTTATTTGTTATTTTAGTGACCACTTTATAAGTTATTTCTTGCCATGATTTTTTTTTTGTCAAATTTATTGCAATGTCAAGTCTATTGCATCAATAAGTTCATTGCAAACATATACAGAGTATCTGTTACACGTTAGATTTTCAAATCTATGACTTTCCATGAATAATTCCAAGAATTTTTCATGACTTACCGAAGTTACTATTTTCTCCACAAAAACACAACAATAAATTTAAAAAGCATTATAATAAAATGAATTGAAATTATAGGTATAACCAAAACTGTTATACTCTGCATCTTCATATTTATTGATTTTAAATAAAAAAAAAACAGAGTAAAGAAAGAGTTGAAGCAATAAAATAGCTGAAAATGATACAAAAGTAAATAACTAAATAATGTTAGATATATGTAGTTATTTAAAGCTGTTTAATTTCTTCGTTAAAGTAAGTGTAATATAAAAAGCCTAAACTAGAATTTTAAATTGATAAAATAAAAATAATAAATTCTGAAATGTTAGAAGTTTAAATGATAATTTCTCTGTAGATGATGCTCTTTCTTTCGTTTTTTGAAAGAACATCATAATTTTTAAAGAACAAGATAAAACATTATAATTTTAATAAAATATGACTATGAGTGTGGATTTTGCTACAAATTCAGATATTCGGAACATCAGAACGCTAAGAAATTGAAAGGGGGGAGGGGAATTATATTTTAAAAATTTGATTTTTCGAGCACCTAAATCCAGGATTTTGCAAGACTTTCCAAGAGCGTGGATACTCTACATATAAATGAATTAAAACAATATGGAAAATCAGCATAAATTGTGTCACAGAAACAGATACATGATCGTAATATATAATGGAGGACCTTCTTACATACTGTGTTTCAACACTGTAAAAGGTGTTTTATTATAAATACTCTCAAAATGATCATATGCCTGTGTCATTATTTGTGTTTCTTTCTTTCATTTTGTTTTAACTTTATTTAAATATATACAGCGCTAAGTTAACCCTTCTTTGTTTGGATTATTGATATATTGCGAATTGAGAATCAATTGCAAAATACAATTATTTATATGAAGAGCTCAGGGTGTGAACATGTGAGGTAACACTTTGAAAAGACTGAACTTCCTAGGTTTGAGAATGGGGATGGAAAGTCAATTGTAGGCATGGATATTAATTCTAAAAAAAGTCTTAAAATATAGCAATTTTTCATTGAGAAGATTAGTATCCTCAACAACTTTTAGACCAGTTCATTTTAAATATGGTTTTTCTCTAAAAAACGATTCTTTAATTTAACTCTTCATAAAAGTCAGCTTTGTGAATCTACCTAACTGGGTGGCTAGAAACAACCTTAGGGGGGATAATTTCTTATTTTATCAACTACTACTTACATTTTAAAAAGTTATGCCAGGAGAATTATGTATTTCATTTTAATATCAAACATTTTTGATAATTATGTTCATGACAGTTTCTAATAAGTCCATCAATTATAATATTAATCCATGTCTTAATCTTTTTTTCAGATGGGAGCATCTCTAGGAGCAACAGCCATCTCTCATTTGGAGGAAATCAGTGAAGATGGAATAAGAGCCATGGCAAAAAGTAGAACAGTGGCAGTAGTCTTGCCTACTACAGCTTACATGTTAAAACTAAAACCACCTCCAGTTAAAAAAATGATTGAAGAAGGGGTGCCTGTAGCTCTTGGGAGTGATTTTAATCCTAATGCTTTCTGTCTTTCAATGGTAAGATTATGTCTCCATCCATCTCTTAAGAACTTTTTTTTTTTAAGTTGAAAAACGCTTTAAACTTGAAAAGCTTCCTCTAGCGGACCCTGTAAAATGCCATGATCTGCCAACAGTTGAACTCAACTTATAATTTATCTTGTGTGAGGGGTTCTTTTTTTCTGGTATTTTGTATGCTTGCAGAGGTGACCTTTATAACAGGTTTTGAGTAGTCAGATATAAAAATATGCTCAAGATATCTGACATGATAAAATTCACATCTTTGACAATATTAGGTTTTATTTTTAAATATTTTTATATTCTTAGTATTTTATTATAACTTTTTTCAATAATTAATCAAAATTAATTTTATTATATCAAGCTAGTTGTTTAGAGAATGTAAAATAGTTTAAAAATTTTTAGCACAGAATTGCTTCCTAGATAAATCAGAAAAATTGCACGTTTTAATAATTTTTATAACAGAAAATTTATTAGATTTGTGTTTTGTAGCCGCTAGTAATGCATCTAGCATGTGTATTATGTGGAATGTCTATGGATCAAGCACTTTATGCAGCCACAATTAACTCAGCTGCAGCGTTAGGAAAATCTCATTCTCATGGCTCAATAGAAGAAGGAAAAGTAGCAGATTTTATAATTATCAATGCAAGCAGGTATTTGAATTAAACATCTTAATTCCCAATTTACAAATCAATCTCAAAACACTTTACATTACTTACATTTATTTTTATTTAATAGGTGGGAACATTTGATCTATCAAATGGGAGCACATAATTCCCTTATAGATTCTGTTGTAAAGAGAGGTAACATCATTCACAAGAACAAGGATTCTTCATTCATTATTTGATAGATAAATTATATATAAAGTTCATTATGATATACATATGTATGAATGTTTTGTAAAGAAAAAAAATAATAAATAAATAAAATGATCTGAAATTTTTTTCTCTTCTATTTTTTTTAAACATGGTAAAAATTGGTATGAAAATGGGGTTAAAATATTAAACAATTAAGTATTTCAAAATGCTTTGTGAATTAATATAAGCACTAAATTATTCAAAATACATACCAGTATTTTTTTTTATATCATTTTTAAGTTTCGTAAAATAATGTGGTTACTAATTATTAAGGTATGATATTTTGAGTGGCGTCTGTTGATGGGGCCTCAAAGGTAAAATTGGAGGTAAAATTTGGTAAAAAAAGTTGGCAAACAAAATTCAAAACTGTTATCTATAAAAAAAAATACTTGAAATCTGAGAAAGAATAGAAGTTTAAGTATGCAGGAAGCTTATATTCTTAATATATTATCACAGTCTTAAAAAAAATAAAAAATCTATGCACATTTTTTTTAGAATTGTGTGAATTTGATTTTCAATGTGAGATTTTTAAATCATGTGAATATCAATCACAATGTATAATTTTAAATTGCAATTTTGTGAATATTGATCATGATGCATAATTTTTAATTAATGTTTATATAGGTAAGAAAAAGCATAAGGAACAAATATTTTTGTTTCAATTAAGAAAGATCATTAAATTGAAAATAAATAAATGAAACTATGAAGTAACTAACCACTATACACTTTTATATTGTATATCTAAACGCAATTCCTTTATATGTTCTTTTAAATATAGTTTAATATTGACCACATTTCATTTTACTTTTAAAATTATACTTTCAGATTATAAATTATATAATTACATGAAGTTCATAATAGTTATAATAATTATACCTTTAAAAAATACATTTCAAAGATGAGATCTTCAATAAAAAATTAGTTTCTCGTTGTACTTTGTAATAGTTTTTGCCATTTTCTAGTATTATAATATGGTGACTACACTACAATATGGGGATTAGGACAGAAAGGATAAAACCAACCATTTTCAATTCAATTAAAAAAAAAAACACATTTAACAGTTGTTTAATAAGTATCAAATATTGAATTATAATTTATACCTAATTCCTGAACTTCTTTGTATTATGGTATAAGTTACTTATTTTCTATGTATTATATTAAACTACAGTCGGACCTCTATTTAACGAACTTCCATTTTGCGAATTTTTACAAGGAACCAAGAACATTTTGGAAATTTCTTCATAAAATAACTTCCAAATAGCGAAGTGAATTTTCTATTGAACGAATTTTTCTTTGAGATCTGCTTTCCCCATTTCCCAAAATATTTCAAACTTGTTAACACATTTTATGGGGGAAATCATCTCGCATTTTCGAAGTCACTTCACTTTTAGAGAAAGCAGTAAAATCCCTTTCCCATCTTGTTTGCATTACAAACAAAATGAACGGGTCTTATCAGTAACCATTAAACTTAAGAACACATGTTGTAATGTATGTTTGAAATTACTTTGCAATTATAATTTTATACAGCAAATAAATGCAGCTATAATTTTATACATAAATTTAGTTGAAAATGTTATAGCATGGTTGTGTAGCACTGGATAATGTTTTGCTCTATTCTTGCTTTCCAAGCAGATTTCTTTTATGGCTAAGATTTATAAAATAAATAGTAGATTGATTGATTGAATCTAGGGTTTAGTGGCACAAGATTGGAATGAGGATAGGCTGCGCCAAATAGTACGGTAAAATAAATAAATAGTAGATACTAGTTTACAAGATAAAGGTGTATTGATTACTATTTAAATTATGTCTACTGTTTATGAATTTAAAACCTGTTTTGTGTCGTTTAAGTATTTCAAAAGGTGATTTTCTATTTAACGAATTTTCCATATAATGAACTTATTATCGGGATTTAGCGACTTCCTTAAATAGAGGTCGGACTGTATATACACTGTTACACATTCATTTTTAATGTAAGAATGTCTCCCCCCTCCTCAAAAAAAAAAAAAAATAGTTCTACAGGTTTAGTTATAATTTTTTTAAATAGTTCTGTAGCTGAAATATTATATTTTAAGTAAGTTGTTTACTCGTGTAAATCAAAGATGCTTATAATATTCTAAGAACTATAATAAAGACAAATGGTGTATGCTTTAAAATTTATTGAAAACTAAAAATACCCAGATTTTGTGTACTCGTCCTGAATATTTGTATTATTGAATATAGTATTTAATATTTATAAATTCACCATCTAATGGGACTGAGTTTTTACCCAACTACCTTTACAGGCATTATACATTCTGCATTAATACTAAATAGGATTATTTTAATTAAAAGCAATTTAGAATGTATTCTATTCTACTTTTAGGGGATATAATTACTATATCTACATACACTGTCTTATATTAAGCTTACATGGTATTTTATCAGAAATATGTATACCTCTCAACTCATTTTATCCGGCATTACAAATCTTCCCACAATTTTTCCCTTCCTAGAACATAGTAAAATGTTTTAGCAATAAAGCAAAAATATTTTCACACATTAGATAAGTCTAATAACATTTTTCAAAAACTGCTACTGTAACAGCGATCATATAACTAGTAAACAGTGAAACATACATGTTTTAATATACATCTGAAAATCAAACATGATCTAGGTATGAAAACTCTTTCAAATTGAAAATTTTATGCACTTTGTTACTAAAAGATAATCTGCATAATGTGGGAGGAAAGAAAATAACTAGAGAAATGGTACATTACAAGTTTATTTTTCAATCAAAATTTACATGAAGGAATATGGTTCTATTTCTTATTTTGTAAAACATTGCAGTTTGACATAACACTATAAATTCTATGCTTTACTGTCCAAGTTAATAGGATCAATCTTTGGTTCTAGAAATAAGGAAAAATACAAAACTAAAGTCAGGTATAAGATAAAAAAAATAAATAAATAAATAATTTAAAACAATCGATAAGTATTTGAAAAAAAGAAAACCATTCTTTGAGCAGCTTACAGATTATTATAAATATTAAGTTTAAATACTGCTTCGTTGATTAAAAGACAACAAAGTTTTTTTTAAATTTTTTTTAAAAATAGAATTAAATTACAATACAAATCCAAAATTTATTTAAATTCATCAGATTAAGGGTGCAAAACTTAAAAGCCAGCATGTCATGAAATAAAAAGTAGTATAATGTACAGTCACTTAACTTTAACTTAAAAGAAACTTTGGAAAGACAGTTTTTCTAAGGTAAATTATGTAAAGATAATTGTAATAAATTACTAATACAACCAAATAAATAATGTATGGAATAAGAACATATAAAATCGTTAGAGCAAGAGATGAGGTCATCTAAATTGATAGGAATGGCAGATTTTAACAATGTGATGGTCAACTGATGTTTTGAAAAAAGTATCATTTGATCAAAACTACCATTTGACCTATGTGTTTTGAAAAACAATCCTATCCTTAAAATTATTCAAATTTTTAGGCTAACAAAAATAAATGTTAAATTGAAATATAACACATTAACTATAATCTTCTTAAGTATGATTCCCCCCCCCCCCANGAGCCAGAAAAGATATTCTTATTAAAAAATCAGATTTTCAGACCCTGCTTAAGACTATTAAAAAATAAACTTTGGATATTTTAGCACAAAACTTCGAAAATATTTAATTCATAAATCCTAATAAGAACTGGCAGTGAAAAAGGCCATATTGCCAACAACTGACTCAAATCTTAATCCCCGTGGCAGAATTTTTTCGAACTATCTGCGACAAAACTCACTAGCACTAATATCTTTTTGCAAGATACTTTCAATAATAACAAACATATATTTTACTAATTTAAAATAATTTTGCGCTGTGTTTACAAAAAAAAGAAGAAAAACGATATATATATATATATATACAGTACAGAACCCGTTATCCGGAAATCAGAAAACCAGAAAAGCNTTTTCATTCGAATATTATGGGTGATATTCTCGCAAATTTCTTTTTTCCCATTTATCATCACAGTAAAAAAATAATTAAATATCATGAAATCCAGAGTAGTAATTGCTGAAAAAAAGATTGATGACGAAACCACACAAATCGGACTCCTCAAATGCGTGTTTCGTTTCGAGATTACGTTGTTGTCATTAATATTTCATAAAAAATATCGGATTTAAAAACTATGGAGAAATCAATAGCAATAACTGCATAAAATTCTATAGAATCATTTCTTTAAAAAAAGTATACTCAAATGCACGATTTGAATTTTCCATATTGTTTGAAATATATTGGGATATTTAAAATTCACATGAAAATCAATATCAATAACTGCCGAAAATACAATCAGAACATTACATCGATTAAAGATGCTATCGGCGTAAATTGAGCGTGAAGAAAAGTGATTATCATCTGAAAGCATGATTCAAATATTACTTGTAAACTTCTGAAGAAAAGTAATTATCTTCACTTTTCAAGAGAAAAATCATTCTGGAAGAACTCTAACGTTCTACGACAATGTCGCTGTGATTCTGCCACGGGGATCTTTATTAATTTGTAGATCTAATGCTGACTTAGACTATATTTTATACATCTTGAAAAGTGCACAATTCGAGAATGTTTACTGGAGTGGTTATTTTTTAATATCTTCAAAAATATAGAAAAATCAGAATACCATAGATCAGAAGAAGAATTTTATGTCTATACAATATACCTTGATTGTCTAATTGATTCAGGTAATCATTATAAGTAATGCCACATGAAAGTTTTCATTATGAATATTTAATAATAGTATATGCGACTACAAGCAGTGACTACTATAAATGCGACTTCAAAAGAGGATTGAGAAAATAGTAATTTATTAAAATGGCCTCTTGTTTTTGCTGACAATACAGCTGGAATGGTAGTAGATATTCAAAAGCATATCATTTATTATACTATTCAAACATAGAAATATTTTTTAACGTAAAATTATAAAGAAACATTAACTTTTTTAGCAGTAACTTAATACTACTTTATATCTATCTATCTATATATATATAAATAGCTACTTGCAAGAACAAATTAAAATTTTACATGATTGAATAAGGTAAAAATGTATATTAAGACACCAAAATTATTAATTTACTTTTTTACAAAATTATTAATTTGCAAAATTATTAATTTGCATTTTTAAACTTCTCTTTGACTGATTAGCTCAGCATGTGTTTAGATGTAAATACTAAATAATTACCTGGAAAATTGAAAGTGGGAAATTTAGTGTAGTCAGCTTTATCAGCACCAAACTGTCTCTTTAAGTTATTCAAAGTCTCATCATATTGTTTCTGTTTTTCTGGAGTAATATCTACCAGTTTACCTCCACTATAAAATGAAAAAATAATCAACACAGAGTTTGATGAAACATTTATTTTTATCCATTATTGCCTATATGTATAGAAAATAAGATTGATTTTAAATGACCAATACAGTTTACGCTCAAAATTGCGTTGTTCGGAAAGTAATTTAGTTTTTTTCTCAACAAGACTTTAGTGTATTTTTCTCAGTCAACTTCACACTAAAGCCATATATAATCATTATATATTTTGACAGCTGATATAGAAAGACTTGCTTGCGAAAAAGTTTGATTGATTTTACACAGTTTTTGGTTGGTGTTTTTTAACTACGGTAAGTCAAAAGCTGAATTTTTGGGAAAAATATCTGATGTGTATAAAGAAGCATTGACAGAACGCCAGTGTCAAAACTTGTTTATAAAATTTCGATCCGACAATGTAGATGTTGAAGTTGCGCTCCATGCTAGCAAGGTCAGCTGAAGTCGGTGAAGACACAATTAAGGCATTAATTGACGCAAACTGGTATGCCTTCAACAATGCTTCGGTCTACAAAATTTGTTAGACGGTTAAACCTTTATTTCAAATGTGGAGGTAAAAAATTACATGGATCACTTTTTCGTCAGCAAAGAACAAAAATTTTATGAATGTGGGAAAAAAAACATTCTTTTGAAGAAATCAAAACTGTTATTATAGCCTTTTTTATATGAAAAACATAAAATTTCAACACAGAAAAGATTTAAAAAATATTTAATTAGAAGCAACTAGAAAAAATTAAATATAATTGTAAAATAAATTATTGATGAATACTTTCTTTTAATGAAAAAGTTTTTTCAGTTTCAAAAATTCAAATCATACCTTTCTAATTTAAAAAAAAAAAAAACAGTTTCATATATAACATTATGAATAGAATTATGCATATATGAACCTGTATAGACAACATTAGTATATTATTTTATAACCTATATTTTGCTTCGTTAAAAAGAAATGTTGGTTCAACTATTGGTTAACTGCAACAGCAAATAAGCTAAAAAGACATTCATAAAAATTTATATATTTGGTAGACTATAACTTGTATATTATTTTACTTATTAAAAATAAATATTCCAAATCTATTCCTTCTCTAATAATGACCTAGATTTCATTATAAAATAATTAAATGCTAGAATAAATTTCTTTTTGTACAGATTTTTATAAGAAACTAGTTTTAAAATGTTTGACAAATTTTAAAATGCTTGACAATCTCATAATAAGTTAATACATAATATGTGAATCATAGAAAATAATTTAACATTGTTATAAGTAGATTTTTTTTTATCTTAAGTATGTCAACATAACAATCTGTTATTTTTAATGATACCTTTTTAAATGAACGTGATTAGTAAATTACAGGGTTGACAGGTTTTTGACATGTGACAGTTTTTGACGGTTTAAACCGTCACTACAAAAACCTCACTGTCAAAAACCTATATTCATTGTGAAATTTAATTAATACATAAAATTTATATATTTTTTTTTATAAAGGTTAGTGTTTCTAAATATAATATAATTAGAAACACTATTCCAGTATTCAGTGTATTCTAGAAAAAATAAATTTAAAATTTTGAAGAAACACTTATATTTTGAATAATAACCCAAATCTTGTACTTTTGAGAACTCACATCTCTTCAAGATATACATTATTTGTATTCTTAATACAAGTGGAGGAAAAAAAATTAAGAGTTAAAAATTGCTTTAAAATGATAAGTGTAATAATTATAAATAAATATAATAAACAATATGAATTATATTTATCATTATTATTACACTTATC